AAGATTTAATCCTTATTTAAACTTGAAATTAATACAATTAATCTTTTATATACTCAAAACTGCCAAAAGTTTGGTGTAAAAAGATTTTATTGTATCTTATTCGGATAAACATTCTATCTACAAATTACACTCTCTAGAGGTCTGATTGTCGAAAAACGAAATTATTACAACAATTAATTATCAGAACTGTTTCATTACCAAATAACTATATGCTAAAAGCTATGTCAAAATAAATTGATTGTTAAAGATTTTAAACAATAATTGATTTACATAATCTACTTATTATGAAAAATAGGAAAGAATTTTGTGAAAACAGATAAATTATTAGGTCTATGCGGATACTGGAAATGTGAAAGTCATAGACTCTGAGTCGTGAGAATCGATGAAACGGAAAATAAATTATAGGTAACAATATTTAATATATTTTAAATTTAAATATTTTTGATTGCTGCATTACAATTTTTGATGGTTTTTTTTATTTATAGCTTTATATTTAGATCATTAGTTTAAATTTGTTAAGATTGTTTTGTCTCGTATCTTTTATTTTTGTTATTTTTTCACTTAATTTTGTTTCGTTTTGTTTCGTAATGTTTTTGTTACTTTGTTTTATTACGCTTAGTTTCGTTTCGCTTCGTTTTATTTCGCTTTGTTCTGTTTCGCAGCGTTATGTTTGACTTCTTCTTGTTTCGCCTCGTTTTGTTCCGCTTCGCATTGTTTGGCAACGTCTTGTTTCGCAGTGTTTTGATTCACTTCGTTCTGTTATGCTTCGTCTTGTCTCGCATTTGTTTCGCAGCGTTTTGTTTCGATTTCGTTGTTTTGTTTCGTTTTTATAAGCCTAACAAAGCCAATCCTGACAAAGCCAGGCTAACAAATCAGAGCCTGACAAAGCCAATCATGACAAAGCAAAGTCTGACAAAGGCATGTCTGACAAAACCAATAGTGATAAGGTCAAGCCTAACAAAGTCAATTCTGACAAAGCCAAACCTGACAAAGAGAATCCCAACACAGCCAAGCTTGACAAAACCAATCGTGGCAAGTAAGCCTGTTAAAGTCACTGACAAATCCCAAACCTGACCAAGCTAAGACTGACAAAATCAAGCTTGACAAAGCTGACAAAAAACTATACAAAGTCAAGCCAGACAAAAAAGCCAAGCTTGACAAAGTCAAACTTGATAAGGCTTAGCCTGACAAATCATTAAGGTAGGCCAGGTCAAACAAGATAAAGTAAGCAAAATAAGAACCAAGTCGAATTAAGTAGGATCTAGCCCAACAAAAAAGATACGAAAAAATAGACCCGAACTATATAAGGTTAGATCGAGCCGAAGAAACTCTCACCCCCCCCCCTTTTGACAGACAAATGAAACCGATCCGATATTTAAAAGATAGGCCATTCAAACCTTAAAGTCCGAAGCAAATCGAACCAAGCCTAACTTTAATACAAAGATGTTGACCACTTCAGATATAATATGTAATGGAGATAAAGTCCGTTTATAAGTCTTTCTAGTAATTAAAAAATGCAGTGATGAAGTTTGTCACAAGAAAATATGGTTACCTTCTATTTTTCCACCCTTAAGAATGTGATGAGGTAGATGCCAGTTTTTATAAATTAAAATATTACTATTAGGTTTAGGCTCAGAGGCAGAGCCCTGATGGGCCTCTCGTTTTTTTCAATTAGATTAAGAAACGGAAGGAGCAGAGGAGATGTATTTTTAGCGAGTGAAAGCCTCGCATACCCCATATTAGTTTTATTATAGAGGTACCTCGCTCCTATTCTGGTGCGGAGCATTGTGTTGTCTCTAACGCAGTGATGTAAGCTAGCAACGAGTTACTTGACTTTTTAATCTGCGACGAAGTTGGGAGATAGGTTTGTTTTACCCCTTCCTAAAAAAAATAAAAAAAATTAACCATATATTTTAAGTCATAAAATTAAATCGATTTTTAAAAATAACTATATAATTTAATTATGTGGAAATTTAGCATAATTATATTTGTTTAAAACTTAAATTCGAGTATAATAATTTTAAAGGTGTCAAACGATTTGCTTTTTTTAAATATAAATTTTGCCTTATAATATACTCATTATCCCGGTATTTATATTGCCATTTGGATAAAATTGTAAAAACCAAACCAATGCAAATCTGAGTACAATTACTTCGACTTATTGGAGCCCTCCTGCCTTGATTATTCCTCTATTTACCAGCTAACTGTCATAGAGTAGGGCCACCATCCATCTGGTTTTAAGGTAAAATTCAAGATGTTAATGGGGTATATAATTTAATATAAATGTCTCAATATACTCAATTAAATTTTAAATTAAGAAAAATATATAATTAGCAGATCAAATAAATGCACATATAATTCCTATACCTTAGCCGACGAGATGCGAAATATATCGTGATCATGTTCTAGTATATTCATCACTCCTATCAATTGAGCAACCACCAGGATTGGAAAAATTTTAATATCCTAATCTCCGGCTGGTCACTTGTGCGCTACATAGAATATTGAAACACCTATTAACGTATTTTCATATGGCAGAAACTAGGGTATTTAGGATACCGCCGTTTAAAATTCCTTTACCTTCCAAATCACATTGAACAACTTTAGACTACATAGTCAGTTTAAAGATGTCCATAAAGATTTTATATCTCAATAACAGTGGGTTGAAATTCAATGAATATAATTGACCTTAGACCAATGACATATATAATACCTAGACTGACGATTCATTCATTAAAAGTGTACATCAATGCAAATCAGCTGGAGACGCCATCTTGGTTACACTAATTATTATTAAAATTTTAAACGAGAGCCTAATTTATTCCTATATCTGATGTAAACTTTATTAAAGAATTACCGGATCATCGAGATAATAAGGAAGCAAGTTATCAATTTAATAGTAGTCTTTAACATGAGAATAATTACTATATGTGCTATCAAAATGGCGTCCAGCTGATTTGCCTTTAACGACGCTTAAAAATGCATTTTAATGAATGAATCGTCAGTTTAGGTATTATATATGTCATTGCCTTAGACATATATATATATATATTTGTATTTTTTATTTTTGTAAATATATTATGCAAATTTTCTTCATTATTATAACTTTACATACAAATTTGTAAAATTGAAATTAATATTTAAATAAAAAAAGTAGTTCCATTTTCGCACTTTCATTTCAAATATTAAAATAAAATTAATAATAATTTTTAATATATATAAAAGTCGTGTAACAGTCACAGTGTCAAAACATAATAGCCAATAGTATTCTTTTGAAAAATATTCACCCAATAAAAATCACCATAGCTTATTCGATCCAATGATAATATTATACCATATCAAACATCATTCATTTTTAATAAAAATTTAAAATAATTATTTGACAAATAAGGTTAAAATTTTTCTGAAATGTAGTTGTTTCAACATTATAATATTTTGTTGAACCATGTTACTGAAATATCAATAATTATTCATTTTTTTCAGTTTAGAAATTTTAACTTGATAATGGCATATCCTAAAATTAGATAAATCATAAATAATTTAAGCATAAGATTGTAAAAATATTTATTCACATCTTAGGGAAAAATCAAAATTCTGTTAAATATGATTTCTAATTTGCTTTTTTTTGAAGATGATTGACTGAAACAGTCTGTTAAAGTTTTTGATATTAACCAGATTTACCGATCATCTTTTTATTTTTTTTAAAAATAAATTTTTTTAAAAATACATTTTTTTAATTAACATGTCTGTAAAAAATACATTTTTAATTTCTAAAGAATATTTTTCATAATAATAAAACTAGTTAATCTTAACAACAAAAGTTTTAATTGACTATGATTAATTAAATAAGAGAAAATTATAATAAAAACTCTAAGAATAATTTAAACTTATGACACTAACATTCTTTAGTTTACGACTACACAAAGAGTGGCATAGTTTTTATATTGTGTACAAAGGCCGGTTATTTTTTAGGTTAGTTGGGCTGGATTTTGGTATTTTATAGATATCCTTGAGGAATACATAACTAAAGACCTGAACTTACATAGATTGATAATTAGGATTTTTTTCTATTAATTTAATTTTAACAAGGAAGGTTAATTGGCTTAAGATAATGTACCTGAACGGTATTTAGTTCGGGGACGGCAAAGAATGCTAAAATAAAATTTTTGTCGAAACAAATTTGATATCAGCCATGTTTATTTTACCGAGAAAAATTATGTCTAATATCGAAATCGTTTTGAAGGCATTTGATCTGGCTTGCCTGACGCCATTAATACACCACGAGAAAGGGTAGTTCACACTTTAGAAAAAAAGTAATTATATATTTATCGGAAATCAGCCGATCTTTTATGCCATGTAATTTATCATTTTGTAATAAATTATGATTATTTTAGAAGTCCAAACTATAAACTTCCAATGGTGAACGTCCAATTTATTCATAAAAAAAATCTAATTAGTATCATAAACGATATAAACATTAATACGTCTGAAATCTTCACAATCTCATCCACTCTTTGTTCTTCCCCAGCTAACATCCCGTAATCTCCCCTTCTCTCTTTGTCCCCCAAGGAAAATTATTTGTTTATGTCATAAAAAAATGACTGACATTTAGTATATTAAATTATTTTCTTCTTTTTTCTATCTGCTACAACAATTATATTGAATTGTTAGTCATAGGCATGTCCTGGATTTTGCTAAGGGGTTGGCACTCTTAGATATGATTTTATAAATATGTTCTTTAGTATAACCTGTCAAATATGATTGGTCATTTGGTTATAGATATTAAAATAAATCAGCTGTGAAAACGACAATTTCATCATTGACATTGAGTTTGAAAATCTTATAACCATTTGATGATATTTAATGTAAATTTTATGGGTTACAAAGTTTGTATCCTTGATAAAAAAAATCAACATAATTATATGGAGGATGGGCATTCATATAATTCATGTACGATCATTTTGGGCAGGTCTATGACCAACGTGCTAAATAAGAATTATCTAAATTGAAAAATGGTTTTATGTATTGAGTGTGGTAGCTCAGCAAATGAAGATATTTATAAAGAATTCTCACCACAAATCATCAAGTTAACTAACTGTGTATATAAATTTTTTAATAACCAGAATTATATTTTAATTTCAGATACACTGTGATCAATATGTAGATAAATATATTGAATATGATACTACCATAATATTTTTAGATGTTGTATTGTTTAAGATACAAGCTTATCGTCACATCTTATTTAATTCAACATTTATTGTAAAATACTTAAATACTATTAGACATACATTAATATTTTAGAATTATTGGAAACTTTCAATATTCATTCTTTTATCAGAGGCTTTTATAAAATATATTAATAAAAAAGATTTTGCATTTTATTCAAATCCAGAAAAAATAGATTTTAACCTTGATATGAACTTTTATCTCTGCTTTTTAGACGTTATAACTGGTAGGTACTTATAGATTTTTTAATAAATTAATCAGATAATTACAAATACACAAAACTCTTTCTTATTATAAATCGAAATTTGAATTCTTATATAAAATTTCCTATTTTATTTTATATTATCAGACTTCATCTTATACCTACTAGCAATCTACATATTTATTAACATCTATAAATCATTGATAAATACAAATATGATAAGTATTATAGATTTATTCAAAACTCTTACCCTATCTTCATATGGTAAATTATTCTCAATTCTTACATTACCCTGGGTTGGGATTCAAAATAGTATGCATATTTATCTAGTTCATATATTAGTCTTTGCTTCAAATTCCTTGGGAATCTATGGTATGTTATTTATAATTATTTGCTATATTAAATATATTTTATAAAAAAAATATATATCTGCAGTCAGATACAATATTCCAATGTGGCTCACTATATTATATGTATCATTATCATTCTATTTAATAAATTATATTGATAAATTATCATTGTTCTCTTCGTTATAATTTAATTAATTTTTTATTACCTTCCTTTTTTTTAAATTTTAATATCATAATAAATATGTATAAATTGTTATTTAAAAAAAATGTGTTTAGTGGTCTAATAAATTTATGTACATAATAATATAATAATCATTGTGTGTGAATTACTATTATAATTTAATATTGAGGGTTTATTTTGAAAACAAATATTTAGAGATATTTTGCTTAAATTGATATTGCATATTTCTTATAAAAAATCATAATCAGGAATTAATCATGTTTGATTTGATAGTTTGACATAAACCATTGTAGTTTTGTAGTTGCATTATATTAGGTATGGTAAACGTTTCACCTGTTTAAGATTATATACAAGAAACATTTTAATTATATTTAATGATTAAATTACGACATCTAGTGTTGTTAAATGACTAAATTTAATTAACTAAAACATGACTCAACAAATCATAAAATCATTCTGACTCTCGGCAACAATAATAATCAATTTAGTCACTAAATTTTTTGATTGTAAAAAAAATATTCCTACCACTACAAATTAACAAAATTCGATATTTTTTTAATTGGGGGAAAGCATTCTATCAAAAAAAAAATAATGGCACCAATCAGCTAATTTGGTCACTCTAGTTTTTGGCCCAATTACTAATTACATCTAAAAGAATAGCGAAAAATAATGCATGTTTAATTTTTTAATGTTATTTCTTACTGGTTATTTGAACCCTTTTCCTAGGTAATGTAAGGGTTCTTATAGTTTCGGCTCTTTTTATGATGGCCTTTCTAGCTCTGGATGTTGCTTTAACAAAGGGGTCACCAATACTGTTTTGTCTGGCTTGCCTGTCTAAATCCTCAAAAAATTCTGAAATGTGTTATTAATTTACAAATTAAATTATAAGTCTCCTGATAAGTAAGAATTTTTCTATCGATCAAAATAACTGTCAATTGTTTATTAAATATTTTGTATAGCTAGGGAAAGATTTATATATGAAAAGTGGGGGAAAAATTATTTATATGCTATAAACATTTCTAAACATATTGAACGCGTTTAAGGTTCATTGACAAAAATCAAATAAGTTAACGTAACCTTTAAAAAAAGGAACGTGTTTATGTTCGCTCAAAACTATATGATTAAAATTTCATATAATGTTTAATTTGATATAAATAAGTGCCTTATAGCCATTTCTACATTTAATAGTTTTATTTTGATACATAAATTAAATACAATATAATATTACAGTGAATAAAAAAAAATTCATATCAATTTTTAATATAGTATATATATAAATATTAAATGTATAAATTTATAATATTCTTGGGGTCATTAGAGCCTTAACTGACTTAATTTTATATATATATATGGTATGTATATTTTTAATATTTATAATCAAAAATTTATCTAATTATAATCTTTTTTAATATCTAAATTTGAAAATAAAAATTTTTAAAAAGTTAAAATTAATAGCGATAAAATAAATAAATTCTAAAAAAGTATTAATTATTTTATATTTTATATCTATATGTATAATATATGATTTTTACTTTAATCAAAAATAAATTAATAGATATCAAATAATAAATATTACAGTCAAGTATTAAAAATAAGTATTTATACACTAGTCATCAAAGTTCGTCAAAAATAAAGAAAACACCGTTTATCATTTTTATTTCAAAAAAACGAACTTCGTTTATGAACATCATAATTTACAACATTAATTGTTTATAATGAGCAATAAATCATTAAAGAATGCTAATCTATAGAAAGAAATTTCATACCGATTATTAACAAATATTTTATGCTAATCTATTTTTTAATGTTAAAAATTATAATTTGAATAAATTGTCCAGGAATGAGAATGGAACCTAATTGCTATAAAAAAATATATACCACGAGTTACGCTGCATTTATAGTAAAGCGTTATCTTCAAGCGTTGCATTATTAAGGCTGATTCAGTTTTAAAAACTAATTTAAGATAAAGCTAAAATAGAGATAATTATTTTTATAATCGTATTTCATGTCTTTTTTTTATCAACGCATCGCAACACATGTTTTTCAAATTTTATCATAGCGTTATCATCACAACGCTCCACATTTATAAATTTAAATCTTATTTATTGATTCAATTTTTTGTAATAACGCCACGCTTAAATAAAAGACGTTAACTATAAATGCGTCCTTATGCGAATACGTAATGAAGATTTATTTTTGAGAATATTTAAGCAAGATTTATGATCATGTTTTATACCAAAAATTCCAAACTTTTTTGTTATTTTTACGCATAAAAAATCTTTAATGGTAAAAAAATCTTTCATTTGCGATTTTATTTTAAAAAAAAATCATCATATTTCTTATTTTCTAAGATTATTTTTTTTTTCAAACTCTTGTAAAAACAATATTAAATTTCTGCCGATTACCGTTTGAATAAAAAGAAACACAAATTTGATCAGACAAATTAGCACACATTGTATTAGTAGACCTAGTAAAATCGAGGTATTTAAGATTCAATTCTCTAATCGAACTATAAATTTAGTGTCAACATTTAATTTCTATTTAATAAAAAGAGTAAACGAAAGTTATTTTATATGTAGCTATATCCATAATTTTTGTTTGAAATTAGGAATACAATATCACGATGAAAACGATTGAATTATACTTACCTTTAGGTATCTTATAATATAATATTGTATGTATAAAATGTGTCAATATAAAAATAATATTCCATTGTCTTACAAAATGAAAGATAGTTTGACATTTCAATTTTAAACAAGTCAAATTGAATAGGATTCAAATATTAGTTTTTAGTCCCTACGTTATAGTTTAATAGGTAAAAAATGCTAAAGAAGGATATGCAAACCGTTGAAGTGACGAGTTAACTCATTTCTCCTTTCATCAATTACTTTTCGGTCAAAAAAAACTCAATTTCGCTGTTTTTTTAGCATGCTAAAAATAGAGCAATTACTCAACTATAATATGAGCATTAAAGCCACTCCGTGCAGCTAGTCCGATGTAGAAAGGGTTTTTCCCTCTTCTTAACTATACACGAAGGCACAAATAAAGATGCAATAAATATATTTTAAAATAAAAATTAATTTAACAATTTCTTCTTCTAGAAAGAAAAAACAAAGCAATATTTTGGAACGAATTCTAAAACGGTGAATAGTATTTCTCGGTGCTAGTTACTAGAAGTCGGCGCGGCAAGCGGATCTCGGAATAAGATTCGGGTCGGGTTGGATAAATTGGGTAAAATATTTTTACGGGCCGGGCTAAAAACCCGATACACGGGCCGGTTTGATCTCTAATTGATCCCATATGTTTCTAAATATTTTCAAGATCATTCTCTTTTGTAATTGAATTATATGGAAAAAAAAATTTCCTATATTATATAAAAATTTTAAGAACTGTTAGAAAAGTCAAAAATCTTTTTGGGTCAAAATTAACACTTGATCTTTGCATTATTACGCTGTGATCTATGTAAAATACAAAAAAAAATGTTTTTGAAGAAGCTCTCCCAAAAAAATTTAAAAAACGGATAATACGATAATTTGTTTCTACTATTTTTAAATTTCAATTTTGACATTTTCTTTTTGTATAAAATTTTCTTACGTTCTAAAAAAAACGTCATTATATTTCTTTATACGTTAAAATTTACATAAATATTGATCCATAAAACTCAGAATTAATAATATATGCTTAGTAAAACTCATCTTATGAAATCTATAGTTTTTCTATGACTTTAAAATATCGATTTTAAAAAAAATTGGATATTTACGTTTAAGTTTTTGCACGTTTGAAAGGATATCATTTTGAAAACGATAGCTCAATCCAATATGTTTCGTTTTGAATATCGAATCTATTTTGTATAAGGACGTTTCTGCCAACAATATTTTTTGTTTAGTCTCTATTCTAGCCATTACTTCCTCCTATTTATTTGGCGTATATAACATTAATATATATTAGGGCTGTTTCATTTACCCCGATTATTAGTAAATAAATAAATAAAATTAAATTATCCATAGCGCGCTTAAACCCGATTATCATATTTTTAACAATGTGAAGGAATACTTACCCCCCTAAATTCCATACCGTTTTTGTCAGGAAATTTAAGTTTATATATATTAAAAACGAGTATAAATTTAAGAATAGTTCGCAAGTTAAAGGCAAAATTGTCTGATATTTAACAGGGAGGGTACTGTATACATACTCATTTGTCAGGAATAAGATTACGACATAGCCTGAACTATTAAAGTTTTTATTTAAAAAAACGCATGCTATCCATGATTTAAGTTTAAAGATTAGCTAAACCCTATATGACATATTAATAATCAATTATTTCACCAATGGCATATAAAAAAGAACCTCAACTTGTAACAATTCTAAGGTTAAATCTTAAAATTATTCAATTTAAAAAATTAATTAGTAAATTACGCTTAATTCCTGCTCAGCAATATATTTTTGTTGGTGTAGTTCTTTGAGGCACGAAATAAGTTCCTGGGCCTGGTCGCTAAACATCTGTTTTTCTTGCTTGAGAATGATGGACGTGTTATCATTTTCTTGCAGTCTAATATAAATTTTTTTTTAAATAAAAATGACCGTTTTGCGAGTATTTTAAAACGAATTATTATTTTATCATTCGAAGTGGTAAAATTTTTTTCTTTATTATTCCGCCTAAATATATGAGTTTAGGACCAAATAAATTAAGGCATTCCTAGGTAAATTTATAATTTTTAAAAAAAATGGGGGATTTAACATGAATTCGTTATGGGCTTTTTCTTTGGCCAAATTATCGATTTTGCTTTCCACACTACTGAGACTCGATTTTAGTTCGTGTATGATGGTTGTGAGACATTGATTTTCTAGGCTAAATTTATCGGATTCCCTTTCCTTCTCCTTGAGTTCGGAGGATATTTTGATTTGCTCGTGAATAAGAGTCTAAGAAAAGAATGAATTTTTTTTAAATAAAAAAAAAATAGTTAACGACGTTAATTATAGTATTATTTATATGATAGTGTATGAAGGCTACTTTCTTCTTGTTCGGTTTAACTAAATCTTACCGCCTGCTTCTAGCAACGTGATTGGTCTAACATAAATTTTGAAAATTAATATTAAAACAAATGGGTTTAAAAAAAATCATAACGGAAGAGTTAAAGCCCGCCATAAGCTACCCAGGGAACATGATTAGTTAACTATCTATATATCCAAATAGCAAGCGGGTAGAGAAAAATTAGATGCAACTAGTGTTATTAAACGAAACGATTTGGATCAATTTTTTAAGAACGGGTTGATTTAAGATATTAGCCAAAATATAATCGGGCCGTTTTTAAAAATTGACCCAAATTGAGCCGTTCAACAACCATCGATGAAACAATATATGCTAGTGTCAGTGTGGTATGTTTTCAATTTCATATCATTTTTTTGAGCGTGCTTTATAAATTTAAAAAATGTGATTTTAAACCGGAAATATATTCCATCGTGTTTTGAATACCTTATCTTTATGAATTGTAGACAATTTGGCTGTTAGCCTTTGTGTCATTTATAATTTATATAAAAAAATTATAATACTAAGTTCAAAAGTTTTTCGCATTGATAGTCTGAAATTTAGAGGTTAGGTATGTTAGAACATGATGGAATGCATTTCTGGTAAAATCAGATTTTAAATTTAGAAAAACGTGCTCAAACACATTGCCGGAGGCTAACATATATACATATATAGCTTTAATGATATTAATATGAAACATTGTGAGATAGGCAGACTTTACATTACAAAATTTAGTCATCCAACGAGTTAGCTAAAAACGATTAATTATAATAGTACTATTTATCATTACGCCAGATAGGTTTCTGGGTTTACTTGCAAAACTGGTTAACTATATCCGAATTATCTATAAAGATGTTACGAGGTAATAATAATAAAAAAACCTAATATAATGGGCGCAAAAAATGTAATTTTTTTTTTTGAAACTTAACTCAATGAATTATACAACTGAGAAAGAAATAATTAATCTGATTAAACGCCTAATATTCTTGCATTCTTTCTTTCCCAGAAAACAATTAAATATTCATTCATTTCAAGAATTCTTAGTAATTAAAATAATAATATAAAATATTCAGATTTTATAACATCGATTTCTCTTTGAAGCGAACTTATCGTGAGATCCAATTTGGGCCTTGAATTTTCCAATCGTTCCATCTTTTTTGTTGTATAATCCAATTCGCTAAATTATAATTATGCAATAATATTTAATTTATTATATTCCATATACAAAAAAAAATCGTCATTTCCAGAGAAAATTTTGAGTTTATTCATCATTTAAAAAAAATATAGTGGTTGATTCTCCCCACTTTTAGCCAAATCCAAAAACTGATGATAACCTAGTTTTTTTTTAACTGGGTTACCATCTTTGCTTAGAGTTTTTTTTCCCGAAAATCTCATGGAAAAGACCCCCCCCCCTCCTAAATATGTTTTATCATGTGACTGTTGGGCTTAGCTGATTTTCTTTTGCGGCTAGCGAATTATGTAAAACTAATTGTCTGGTGTGCGGTTTAGACTAATTCTATTTATAATTAAAATAATATAAATAGATCGATTAAGTTTCAACACTTACCTCTTGACCTTTTCGTAATTTTCCTTCAAATCCACGATCATCTTTTCCATATTTTTTTTCTCAATTTCCAAATCGAGCGCTAATTTTTTCAACTCCTTTTTTTTTATAAATATTTTATTTTTTTTTAAAAAAAGGAGGGTGATAAATCGATGAAGGGCAACCGTACCCGAAAAAGGAGTAGTCTGCCGCATTCAGATCGATCCTACAAAACAAAATAGAATCTGAATGAAGATGAACAGATACTTTTTGGAAATTTTTTTAGGATCATAGAGCAGGCTCGGTTCTGTTGTTCTGATAATATATAATTTTTTTGTGAAAATAATATAAGTTGATCCTATTTTTTTTTTCAATTATAAATTATATCGCTTTCAAATTTAAAACGTTTACGTTTTGCCTAAAAATGTTAAAATACGCGTTTTAAATGGGTAACGCGCGTAAAAAACGCAAAATAGTTATATATTTTTTTTCCCTATATATTAAATTTTTTTTAAAAAAGTGTTATTTTTTAGAAGAAACACTTCTGCTGAATTTGTAAGCACGATTAGTTTATTTTATGGCAGATCAGGTGCTTTATTAACTATTTTTTATTTTTAAAATAAGGGAAAGAAATATCTTACGTCGTTTTTGGCCACTTCGTTTTGTAGGGCTAAGCTTTCGTAATGTAATTTTTCTAATTCATATATTTAAAAAAAAAAAAATATGAATGAAATTAATTATATATATATATATATTTACAAACATTAATATAATTTGCTGGGGTAGGGTTGTTAAAAAAACTCGATTATTTCGTCGATTACCAATTGTTATACTTCATCTTAAAACTATATAAGATAATTAATTTTATTAATACGTAAAAAAATTCAATTTTTTGATAACATAAGCAAACTCAATCCCTGAAATATCCCAAAATCAATATTTAAAAAAATATGTCAAGTGAAAACGAATGAATAATAAAATAACCCATATATATCAGAGAACTGCAGGCCCGGCCCTAAGCCCTATTTTAATTTTTTTTAAATATACCCAAAATATAATATATTTTTAAAAAATCCCGGACGGGCCTAAAAATTTTTGGAAAAAAATCCGGTCCGGGCACAGGTCTCTGATATATATATCAAATACGAAAATGGCTTTAAATTAAAGAAGAATAAAAAAAACCTTTAACTTTTTCTTGTTCGCTCCAAAGGTACAAACCCTGTTTTTCTAATTCGTGAACTAGAGTGTCTCCTAATTGAGAATTGTGCCATGTTCTAAATATTTTTAAATAAACATGGGAGGGTATGGTGGGGGAGATATATATTTATATATGTATAAATGTCAATAAGATCTCGGAGGGTATAATTTTAGTATCATGGAGGGGGGGGTCAGTTCCATTGGCTGGGAGGAGAGAGGGATCAAGAGGGCAACTAGCGCCCTTAAAAAGAAACGATTCTTTTATACTAAAAAAAAGGTAACTCGTCTTTATCTAAAATATGATTATCGTTTAAAAAATTAAACAATGTGCGACACGTAAAAACTTTAGTATAAATAATAGTAAGTTATTAAATCCGCAAAACTTGACCAACTCGATAACCCATTCCCTAACATCGGGTCAGGAATATGGAATTGACTTTATGATTGGGTGTGTCAGGAATTTTTACTTAAAAACAATTTCCAGGGTTGAGTCGAGTTGGGAAAATGCTTTTATTTTCCTGTGGGTCGGATTGGGTCGAACATTGTCTCTTACTATATTAATTCAATATTTTTAATTTAAAAAAAAAAAAATCTAAAAATGTAAATGTATAACATGCGACTGGCTTCTTGTATCTGTTTCAACCATTTTTCATTTTCGTGGGCATTGTCCATGGCCAACGTGAATGGATGCTAAAGGGGGAAAAAATACTTTTAAAAGTAATCATTTCAAACGTAAAAAAATATCATTTTATACGACCCTTTGATTGGGTTTTAAAATGATATACATGCTTAAATTTCGATTTTGAAATGATATTTTACAATACAAAATGGTATAGTGTAGGCCCTGGTTCACTTCTTTAATGTTAGGTTTAAAATGCTATTCAAAGTTAAAAGACATGAAACTGACATTTGATTTTTTTTTTAACATAAGAAAGCGTTTTAAAAAAACGCAACGTTAAATAAGTGATTCAGATCGGCTTCTTATAACGAAGAGGTGGGATGGGGGGGGGGTAATGACAGGTTTAATTATATAGATTTGCTAACACTAGGCTTACAAATATACGTATCGAATAAATGCATTAATGGTAATTGTTCGTCCAAGATTTAATTTGATTGATAGATGTTAAGATAAATTTTAATAAAGAGGCAGGTTAGATGCTTATAACTGCTTTAACAGTTAGCGCGATTTCGCGTATGTATTCTCCGCGCCACGAATTCGCTCAAACCATGAATGCGGAGTTAGGCGCCTATTTCAAAAACGAATAGTGCTAATTGTATTCGATTCGTTCAAACCCATCGAATTTCTATGAAACTGAAATTCGAATAATTTGTTTCTCTCTCCTTTTTTTTGATAAAAATCTGCTGATGATAAAGAACACGTGATTAGTGTTATTAACCTGCTCAATTGTTGTTCGCCCAAAATAATATTGAGCGAGTCCCCGAAATTTCGCCAATAGATGTCCAACCATTTCCTGCATCTACGAACAAAATCTCCAGGGTCGCGTAATATTTTTCGGATAAAATTTTGAGCTAACCATCATCTAACAACACCACATGCGATGCGATCAAGTAATTGACGAAATTAAAATGTACAACGATTTAATTTATAATGCCGAGAAGTGTTGTTAAGAGGCTCGATTTAAGCCTATTTTTTAAAAGGGCTTTCTCAATATTTTAGCCAGATGATCAAATCCTGGTGCCATACATGGGCAAAATCTTCAGGCTTGCGTGATATTGTTCTGGATAAAGAGTTAACCGTTTTTTAAAAATCGGCTAAAATCCGGCCGGTTTTAACGAAAGTAGCGGCAAGCCAATTTTTATGGATTAAGAGTTTTTCTTTATTGCGTCTTCTTTATAAGACACGCGATTTCTTGACCATCCTGTCAGAAATGGCAAATAATTATAATTTATTTTTTTTAAAAAAACCATAATAATTATTCGTATCCGTACTATTCGATTTGAATTATTCAAAATGAATCGAATATTCGATCCATTTCTGAATAGGCCTAATTGTAATTTATTAAAACATAGTTGTAGCAATACCAAGTATTCTTCGCTATTGATGGTAATGATGAAGCGGCGGCCTTGATTGTGGGATTCTATCACGCAACTTCCCAATGGTATGACTCCCTAAAATGATTTGAAATTTAATATGTAGCAACGTAATCGTGAACCCAAAGTTTAAGGGTTATATATAATATTCAAATGATCAATAATCTGTAACATGATATGTAGAAAGAGATTAGAGAAGATCACAAGTCCGCTCCCCCCCTTCCCAATTTTAATTTACAGAATGTGACGGGTCCCAAGGATAAAATCATGCTGAAATTAAGTTTTCCAAGATGGGAGAAAGAAACATCTGCCCGGTCGGGTAATGTTTGATCTTCCTTAAACCTTTTGTTAACTATGATTGCAGGTAAAAATAAATTGAGATAAATAAACATGGCAGAAGTTAGGGAACATATATAAAGAGTAGAGGTATAATAATCTAACTTAAAATATTAGAATAGGAATGATAAGGCCAATCAAAAAAATGTATAGGGTAGTTCTAAATATATTATATATACATCAATATCACTTTTTAAAAAAATATGAAATTTATTCGGAATTTATAGAATTAAGGCAGAGCAGACGATAAAATTTTTAACGCTTAAAATATTTTGCAACGTTCGATTTTTGATTTGCCACCTTTATTAACCTTATGCCCTAGAATGACAGAACACTCTTGTGCGGTCTTAACCTAAATAATGTTCATTGGAGAGGGGGGGGGGTGGTGAAATAATGTTTAAATAAATTTAGCAAACCTTGGGGTGAAAATTGAAGGTTTTCCGTTTTTCGAAATCCTTTTTCTCGCATTCGGGGTAATAAAACAAGTAACCATCGCGGATCGCGAAAAATCTTTTAAAATTTGAATATCGAAATTTATATTTAAAAAAAAAAATTAAATAGTTACAACAACAATGGCTGATGAATGATTGGTTAAAATGCCATTTTAAAGCTTCGTTGTATACAAATCAGCTGGTCACACGGTATTTTGATTTACCATATAATTTTTTTTTAATATACATAAAAATGAAATTCTGATATTTTTTTTTTCCATTTAAAGTTTTCGTAAAATTTTAAAATGCAAATTATTTATACGAGAAACCAAAAATGGCGAGTCATCAGCTGATTTGTATTGATACGCATTTAAATGAATGAATCGTCTTCAGTCTAGGTCTAGGTAGTATACTATACATCATTGCACTAGACAAATAATGGGTAAGATTTTCAAAATATAACATCTTATAAGGTTTGGCTCAAATAGACGTTCCCTAACAGTTTAACCAATTTTTTTTTTTTACAAAACTGATTTCACATTTGTTAACCGTAATACACCAAGATATAGGGACACGTGATAATCCTTCTTTCATTATTAGATAGATAGCGCCACAGCGAATGACGCCATTTAAATACCCCATAAATATAAAACATGTATAGTAAAATAAATGTTAAACTCGGCTTATTTTTTACAAAAGAAAAACTTTATAAGTTCCGCCAGCGATTATTTTATAAGTTCCTTCCTACCTTTCCCATCGATGTCGCTATAAGAAAGATAGGAAAGCCGAACCCTTATTTTACAGACTCTCTAGTAAAAACTGATTTTAAAACAAAACTAAAAAAATATATAGAATTTCTTAAACTAAATTTAAATTATATTATTTTCCTTCATGAGGTGGGAAAAAAAATTAGCCATCTAATAATTACTCAAATGCATTGTATGTATAAGTAACATACATATATATATATATAATAAGATGTGGTGTGTCCTATAAAGAAAATAATGAGATAATTACGTACGTTATGCTATTTAAATAAAATTAGAACAAAATTTCTTTCGACTGAATTATCTTTATATGTTTTATAAAAATAAAAATTTATTTTTATGATAAAAAATTATATCGATATTTTATTATTATAAAATATTAAAATAAATAATATTTAATTTTATAACAAAAATTGAAAATATTTCTAATATTTAAAAAAGAAATATTAAAGCATGATGTGATGATGCTTTGAAGATAAAAAATGATTAAAAAATTTTTTTATCAAAGTCTCAGATACACATATTTATGTTACACAACAAGATATTAGGATTGAAATGAATATATTGAATTTAACTTTCTCCTAAAGTGGGTCAGGAAATCTGTGTGGGATAACTTGAAAGAAAGAAAGAAAGAAAGAAAGAAAGAAAGAAAGAAAGAAAGAAAGAAAGAAAGAAAGAAAGAAAGAAAGAAAGAAAGAAAGAAAGAAAGAAAGAAAGAAAGAAAGAAAGAAAGAAAGAAAGAAAGAAAGAAAGAAAGAAAGAAAGAAAGAAAGAAAGAAAGAAAGAAAGAAAGAAAGAAAGAAAGAAAGAAAGAAAGAAAGAAAGAAAGAAAGAAAAGAAAGAAGAATATTTTACTTATAATTTAGGACAAAAATAATTGATTTGATTTGAATTTTTGTTTTTTTTAAACGAGAAATAATTTATTAAAATTATATCTTAAAAATTTATGAAAGGGTCATGCGTGTGAGAGTATGAATAAATAAATAAGAGCCTTTCAATAAAATAGAGTCACTCTTGGTGGCATTTCATGTATTTTTTTTATCTTCGAGTGATTGAGGCATCAAAATTTTTTCATTTCATTATCACACTCATAATGGAAGCGGGTTGGGAATTGGAAAACTAAAAAAAATGTGCAAAGTAAAATCAATATTTTATAAAATAGATTTTCATCGTCCGATACTTTAAAATATTTAAAAATTGGTTACCAGTGGCTGATTAACTCTACCATAAATTTAAAAATTATAATAAAATTATGATTAAAAAGTTTTATTTAATATTTGAAAGGATAATTTATATTTTAATGGTTATGGGAAATGATAGGCTGAGAAAAGAATAATAATCTTATCTTATTTGCTTTTATTTGTATTTTTTTTTAATTATTCATTTATATTTCATTTTTAATAGAAGAAAATCTTATTTTTTCTTTCTAGGCAGTATCTAATCTGTATTAATCTAATGTATTAATAAAAAAAAAGGTTAGCGTTTTAAGTAACTAAGAGATTAACAAGAAAAATAAGGACATTATTAGTGATCTGCATCGGGCCTATTTTTCAAGCCCGGCCCGGCCCAAAATTTTTGTAAAAAGTTTTGCCGGCCCGGCCAGACCCGATGTTATTTAAATATAGAAATTAATTTTTATAATTACTTAAAATAGAAGATATATAGAGTTTAGTTTCAATAAATTAAATCAAAAATTTTTATTTTACATAAAAAATTCAATATAAAATTGATAAATTTAGATATATTTAATAAAATTTCCAAGGTCCGACCCGATGTTATTTAAATAGAGAAATTAATTTTTATAATTACTTAAAATAGAAGATATATAGAGTTTAGTTTCAATAAATTAAATCAAAAATTTTTATTTTACATAAAAAATTCAATATAAAATTGATAAATTTAGATATATTTAATAAAATTTCCAAGGTCCGACCCGATGTTATTTAAATATAGAAATTAATTTTTATAATTACTTAAAATAGAAGATATATAGAGTTTAGTTTCAATAAATTAAATCAAAAATTTTTATTTTACATAAAAAATTCAATATAAAATTGATAAATTTAGATATATTTAATAAAATTTCCAAGGTCCCACCCGATGTTATTTAAATATAGAAATTAATTTTTATAATTACTTAAAATAGAAGATATATAGAGTTTAGTTTCAATAAATTAAATCAAAAATTTTTATTTTACATAAAAAATTCAATATAAAATTGATAAATTTAGATATATTTAATAAAATTTCCAAGGTCCCACCCGATGTTATTTAAATATAGAAATTAATTTTTATAATTACTTAAAATAGAAGATATATAGAGTTTAGTTTCAATAAATTAAATCAAAAATTTTTATTTTACATAAAAAATTCAATATAAAATTGATAAATTTAGATATATTTAATAAAATTTCCAAGGTCCGACCCGATGTTATTTAAATATAGAAATTAATTTTTATAATTACTTAAAATAGAAGATATATAGAGTTTAGTTTCAATAAATTAAATCAAAAATTTTTATTTTACATAAAAAATTCAATATAAAATTGATAAATTTAGATATATTTAATAAAATTTCCAAGGTCCGACCCGATGTTATTTAAATAGAGAAATTAATTTTTATAATTACTTAAAATAGAAGATATATAGAGTTTAGTTTCAATAAATTAAATCAAAAATTTTTATTTTACATAAAAAATTCAATATAAAATTGATAAATTTAGATATATTTAATAAAATTTCCAAGGTCCGACCCGACCCGGCCCGAAATTTTGACTCGGGCCGGGCCTAACTTTGCAGATCTCTAGTCATTATAATAGCTTTTAGCTTTTGCCCATACTTAGCTTCCCGCAAAGCGATTTTTTTTGCGGCCAAAAATATGACCCTAGCCCAATTTAAAAAGCATTTTTTATGTCCGAACCTGACAAGAGTACACAAATTTTTTGTTTCGGTCAGACCCGAGCCGATTTAAACACAAAAAAAATTTGAATTTGAATATTATTAATTTTATTTATTCACATATTGCCATCTTAAAAATAAAATTATATTGTGACCAAAATAAAGTCGCAAAACAGGGTATAACATTTTATTTAACCTGACAGAATAATATGATGTATGCAAAGTAGAGTTTTAAACTGAATCACAATTACAAATCGTATTAATAGGAAATTGTTAATTTTTGGGGAAATAGAAATTACGTAAATGAATCAGGTGAAATGTGTTAGATGAAAAATGACATGTGATTCTGATTGACTATGGGCAAGCTGCACGTACTTGTTACGGACAACAGTTCGAAAACTGGATCACCCACATCCCACCTTAAAAGTAATTAAAAAATACTGTAGTTTTCGGGTATAGGCTTTTGTTTTTTGCCCAACTCTTATTAGCCTATAGACTTTTATGCAACAGTCTTCGGACTGTTGTGCGTAACAAGTACGTCCGGGCTTGCCCACAATCGTGTAGAGAGCTCCTCATTTTTCCTTCAATGTCAGAGAGCAAAAGCGCTATAAATCGCGTATCATTGAGGATGTTTCTAATAAAAATTTGATTTTCGGGCCTCTGGTAGAGCCGCCTCTTATAGCCAACCCGAGCCTGAGAAAAAGTATTTCGGTTCGGGCTTCGTGAATCGATTTAGTAAATTATATATTAAATTTAGAGAATAAATAAGAAATGTCTAAGAATTTCAGATAATTTTGCCGTTTAACTTCTCCAAGGATCATTTAAAATTAATATATATAATTTTTTTTTTATTATGTTTAAAAGTTCGCGGCTAAATTTTCTCGAAAATCGCGGAGGTTTATTTCACATGCTGAAATCCATTGCCGCGAAATGATTTTTTTTAAAAAATTCGGGCTCAAAAAATGATTCAAAGTTTTTAAAAAAATCACGTTGATGCCAAGATATTAATTATACACGACATATTTTATTATTCATAAATGTTTATGATAAAAAAGATAGGTGTAATATATAATAACTAAAATCTAAGATGGCGAATACTAAATTTAATTTTGCATCCTGACGTTCTTATTGAAAAACAAGCAAAGATTCGGAGCGTTGTTTTACATCAGATTTTAATTAATTATATGATGTTTTAAATCATTCTAATTTATACTAGTTTGTTAAAACTATATAAATCCTAGTATTTTGTGGCCATATTTTGTAAAATTTCAGCTGTTACATCGGTAGTTATAGGATGCCACGAATTGCATAATAGAGATTTGTAAAGAGCACTGCCTAGTTGGTAATTGATACGCATTTCTATTATAACCGCCCATCGGGCCTGAATATGACAAATGTTTGTCGGGTTTTTAAGATATAAAGGGACCGACGACATCTTTACCATGCTAACTTTAATCCAAAATTTTAGGAAAACCCCCATTTTTAGTTAAAGTTTCGAGCCCCGAATAACTCCAGTGGTGTCAGGGTTTTTACTTAGGTTTTAGATGATTGTCACTATCATAATTTACTATATCATGACAATTAGTGAAAGTGAACCGTACCGATTAAAACCGCTTCCACAACCCTAAACAAATTCTCTGTATTCAGATCCAGTTTAGAAAAAAATTAAATCTAAATGTAGTCATTTTGTGGAACTTATCAAGACGTAGGATCTGTATACAGCAAAACCAGGAGGGTCTTATAGTTGGACGTGGCTAATGACAATAAAATATTTTAGACTTTTTTATCCAATCAAATTTTACGAGAACAAGAAAAATAAAAAAGCGGGGGGAATTTATAATAATTCTTATAAAAATAATCATTTCCTCATTGCGACATTTAAATATTTTATTTTCTATACTAAAAAAGAAAAAAAAATTTAAAAAAAAGACTTAAGTTATTTTTTTTTCTCTTCACATTTGTATGTTAATTAACTAAATAGTTATTGTTGTAATACTCATTTTTTAAAAAATAATCCCAAAAAGGAAAGTATTAACGTTATGCGAATATCATCCTAAAAAGCCCAAGGATTAAAATAAGATTCGTCATTCTTCGACTCACTCAGCTGTTTTTTAGAAGAGGAAGAAGAAAAAAAATGAAAGGAATCGAAGATAAATCACTGGACATCGCTATAATAAAGGATATTTTGCGACAGCAAACCCTGAAACGGGGCGTGGAAGACTATCCCGGTCAGCAGCAAAACGATATCGATTACGCCAAATCGAAAAACGAAGCTAACAATATCGCGAAAAAATCGGGTAAAAGAAACCGTTTCGGCGGCAAGAAAAATTCGGCAATGTACGTTTGCTACGTTTTAGTAATTTTGCTGTTCACCGGTTTGCTCAGGGAATATGTGAGGATCCTAGAACTCAAAATGCTACTTCAAAATTGCGCTTCGGAAAAACATTCGATCAATTCGCAGATGGATATATTGTACGACCAAAGGGTTAGAGACAAGTCTTATATATATATATATAACTTTTATATTTGGAGAGTGTAATATTACTATAATTAGAACTTTCCAGAAATTATGAAGGAAATAAAGGGCGTGCCTATTTTATTTTGGTAAAAATATTGGAACCGGTTCGTATTTCTTAAATCATTCATGATATATATATATATATAATAAAACTAATAATCAGAGTTTTGAAATATTCAAATATTTTTAAATCTCTTGAAAAGATTTTTTTTTTTTTTTGAAACAAGATTGATAAAACTTCAAATCTTTTCTTAAGGAAATCCTTTGCGATTTTTATTATGCCACTCGAAAAATAACTATTTTATTTGTTTAAAATATAAATTTTAATCTTCTTTATAAAAAAAAAATATGAACAATTTTGTGATTTTCAAAAGATTTTAAACTCTATTAAAATTTTTTATTAAATCATAAATATATATTTTTTTGTTTATTTCAAGGTTATTTTTTTTAAAAAAATATATAATTAAAAATTCGGAAAACAATTCGAATATTTTACCCGACCCGGCCCGAAATATATTTTGCGCAAGTTGCCGGCCCGATTTTTTAAAATTTCAGCTGCGCAGATTTTTGATCGATATAACTCTCCATCGAACTCCGCCTCTTTTTTAAGGGTGTACCAATGACATATAATAATACCTAGACTGACGATTCATTCATTAAAATGCATTTTTAAGCGTCGTTAAAAGCAAATCAGCTGGACCCGCCATTTTGGTAACCTTTATAATAATTATTTTCATGTTAAAAACTAATATTAAATTGATAACTTACTTTCTTATTATCTCGATGATCAGGCAATTCTTTAATAAAGTTTGCATCAGATATAATATAAAATTAGGCTCTCGTTTAAAATTTTAATATTTATTACAGTAACCAAGATGGCGTCTCTAGCTGATTTGTATTGATGTACACTTTTAATGAATGAATTGTCAGTCTAGGTATTATTATATGTCATTGGGGTGTACTTAATGTTTACACAGCGATTTAAAAACTAGAACTTGGTACCGGAAACGGACCCATTTTAAAATTTCCGGGTGTAAATAAAAGTGCGTGTATGTGTAGAGAGAAATGGGCACTATTTTTATTTATTGTCCAACGCAGAGATCTGGGGTTATTAAAAACTAACACGTGGTTAGGGTAGGCCTATTCAAAAAACGAATAAGACTTGAATAATGTATTAATTCCTATTCTAAAAATTAACTCTTGGTATACGATTCAAATAATTACGAATAGAAAATATTCCATTCGTTTAAACGAGTCGAATACGAATAATGGCATTATTCGATTCGTAAGCTTCGGAAATAAAAGACATTTTTTTATTCGACCCGCTAAGAATTTTTTCGTAAGTTATCCGGCCCGACCCAAAATTTTTACTAGTCAGGCCCTGCCAATTCCGCGGCCCTTGGGCCGAGTTTACGTATTTAATATGAAGCATTTAATGGAGATATCTAATTCTAAAAAACAAAACGCCCTCTATATTATGAAATTTAATCGATCAACGAATATAAAAAACACATTTTGGAATTAAGCTTGTTGTAAATGATACAATTACTTATAATAATTACTTTCAATATTTAATATTCAAAAGTATACGAACACTTATCATGTATTATTAAAAACTTTTGATTTGACTCTTATACACTTTTAAGTGTTATTTCGTATTTTTCAAGGTTTTTAAGATTTAAAAACTGATGCGAAAATATTATTATAAGGGATAATAAAAAAACTGTTTATTTTTTTTCCCAGGGAAAAACCAACTGTTTTATTTCAAATTTTTTTAAAATTTATGGATAATATTATATATACAAATTAGTGTTATTTAAACGGATCGCTTTGAGTCGATTTTTAAAAACTGTTAACTCTATATTTTAGCCAGAAAAACACGAGGCAAGCCCGAAGATTTCGGTTATAGATGGCCCAAAGGTTTGAACATCTATTAGCAAAATCTCGAGTCGTGTGCAATATTTTCCTAGTGTTGTTAAAACCATCTAACTTTGGCCAGCTCTAAAAACGTCTTAGACAAGTTTATATTCGAAAAAAAAAATAGTCTCTATCAGTGAGTTGAGGCTAAACTTTGACCTGTAAGTCAATATTGGAATTGGTCAAATCAACATCACTAAATTTTTATGGCCATAATATTGAGTTGGAGTCGTTTAACAACACTAATACAAATATTGATCGCAAATTTTTCAATTTCAAAATCATCTTAAATATGGACATATACCAATATTTTGTTGAAAAATATTTTCATTTATCAATAAGGTAATTATGTTGATTAACAAGGTTTTTCGTCAATTTTTTTTTTTTTCAGTTTTAAAAATTAGATGCGAAAATGTATAATAATAATAATAAAAATTCTTTGTCAATATTTATTTTCAAATATTTTTTGAAATTTAATTTATATTTTTTTTAAAGGCACTGATTTTAAGTCAAAATTTTTGTTTTCCCGCTATTTTAATAAACATTACTGGGTGTTGTTTAAACGGCTCGTTTTGAGCCGATTTTTTAAAACGGGATACCTTTTAATATTTTTATCCAGAAAAAAATATTACGCAATTCTGAAGATTTTGCCCGTAGTAGTGTTGTTAAATTACCTAACTCTGACCATCTCTATTGTGGCATAATCAAGCTTTTAGCCTAAAAATATTCTAATTAAGCTTCTAAGTTGAGTCTCAACTTGAAGATTAATTGGAATATTTTTAGATAAAAACATGGCTACGTATAGTTGACTGAAGTTAGATATATTAACAACACTAGCCCGTAGAAGGAACAAAGGTTTCTAGACATATATTATCGAGATCTCGAGGCTTAGGCAACATTTTTCTGGCTAAAATAGATATTAGACGTTTTTAGAAAATCGGCTCAAAACGAAGCCCTTTAACAACACCAAACATTACCTTCTTTCGAATGTTGGACGCCATCTAACGGATTTATATAATTATCTTCTTAAATAAACGCGATCTAACGGATTTATATAATTATTTTCTTTCAAATATTAAACGCCATCTAACGGATATATATATTTTAAATTATCGAATAAATTGTTCGGGACATTTTAGGTTAAGAAATCATGCCTTTGAATAGATATTAAACAAATTTAACTTAAATATAAGATAATATTTTTACGAGTTCTTGCCAATTAAAAAAAAAAATTGATTAGAAACATAACTAATTAGTTTTAAGATATTTATTTTTAAGCAATAGAGCATATTTATTCGTACACTTGTCAAAATTATTTATTAAGAAAATAATTAAATAAAAAACAAGGAATTATTAATATCCAAAAAAATAAACATATTATTTTTATAAACTTATTTTTATATATATATGATTTCTTACTTATTTGCCGTCTTTAAGAGTCCATTTTTCAAAATGGCTCGTTTAAGATTTTAGTTAAAAATATTACGTAAAGCATCGAGATATGGGAAATAGATAGATGTCCAAGCACTTCTGAGTCTGCCCAACTCTATGTGCAAAATCTTTAGGCTTGAATAATGTTATTTTGTTTATAATCTTAATCGGACTTCTTTTTTTTTAACAACACTACTATTTATATTTTTTTAGATATTTTCTTTTCCATAATTTTTTTTATTATACAAGATTTTCAATATGTAACATACCCGCCGAATAAACATAATAAGGTAAGTAAAAAAAAGAAAATATTAAATAAATTAAAAGTAGTGTTGTTAAATGGCTCGTTTTAAGCCAAAACGGCGAATTTTCCAGAAAAATATTACGCAAACCTGGAGATTTTTCTCGTAGATGGCACAAAGGTTTGGACATCCGTTAGCGAAAGTTCGAGGATTAGGGCAATATTTTTTCTGGCTAAAATATTGACTTAGCCAGTTAACACTAGTTAAAAGGTGTCCCCCATCCAATGTTCATCAACATTGATAATTATTGAGCAAGATTGCATTGCAATCAAAGTATCTTTTTAAATATCCTTATCTATATTGAATTTATATGTAATCAAAAGTTAAAATTACTCCTGCCACTTAAGATCTAGATCCCGACATTTAGAGTTATGCGGTGCTCGGAATGATTTTTTTCGTGATCAATTTAATTCCTATCAGACATTTATTTATTTTTTACTCCCCTCCCAGGTCGCAATTATACACCATATTAAGGTAAAACTAGGACTCCTAATCAAAAGATATTTCAATTAGCTGTTATTTGATACCAATCCATCATCATATCAACATTTAGTGCTGATCAAATTATTCCTGACCCACCTAGTAATATCGAGAGGAGGCGCTTGGCTTGTTACCTATTCATAAGATCTTTTATAGCTATCGATTGATACCATAACCATATAAACTTTAATAAGGTCAAGAAATAACAACTTAAAATTTATGGGTCTGAAAAGGGTCGTGTTCAGAGCTGGTTTAGTCGATTTTTAGACCCAAGACCCGGGTCTGGGTTTTACACAACCAACCAATCAACAACACTAGTCATATAAGTTGTATCAAATTTTTATAATATCATATCAAAGCCGAAAAATAAGAACGATTGCATAAAAGAGCAAAAAAAAATAAATTCCAAATTTTGGACATTTAAAAAATGGAATATCTTTTTTAAGGAAAAAGTTAAATATTTTGAAGTGATTGTCACTTTTAAAAAGCAAGCGTTCTTGTAGAATGCTTATTTAGTCAAATAGAAGGCTTATTTTTTTGGGAGAAAGACGATCTCTAAGACCGCAATTTGGGAATATATATCTTTTTCTTTCGGTGTAAATAAATATTATATTGTGGTATAAATATACACATTTTTTTCGGTGAAATTATTTCGTTATCTAAATTTGTATCCTTCCTTCGATTAAAATGTTATAATAAAAAAATAAGGTTACTTATTGCAATGTAACTGTAGCTAGTTACTATTTTTTATAAATATGTAAGCAACTTTTAAAAAATGTAACTCTTATAACCGCTTAAAAAGTAGCTCTAAAGTACGTTTTTTCTTTTTTTTACAATGAAAATAATTGAGCATTTAAAAAAGGGATTTGAAAACATATGATCATTGATTACGCTTGTTTAGCATGTTTTCTTTAAGGCGAATAATATGGGAGCTAACAGAATCATTGATTTGTAAATATGTTTCTTAGTTGACTCCAAAATAATTAACTTATTATAGATCCTTGGGCAAAGATATAATTCAAACTTTTTGAGCTTATTTAGTATCAAAAAAAATGGCAATCGAGGTAAATATTATAATTATCTGATTTAAATCAACTGATTTTTTTTCAACAATAAATCATGATTTTTTCCAACCCGTCTTTAAATAGTGAGGTCTTTTTTTTAAAAAAATATAATATTCGAAATTTTAAAAAACACAAAATAATAGATGAGTCTAAAGAGTTTGATAGATCGCGAAAGGGAGATAAACCAAAAGTCTCAATCAGAGTGGAACGCGAAAGAAGGAACGCTAACCGCGAAATCCAAGAAATGCGACGAGGATCTGACCAAGGAAAGGGAACGATCCAAGGTGGTAACCAAGCAGAGGACCGACGAGCGCAAGATGTGGCAAATAGACAAGAAAAAATCGCGGGACACCTTGGCGGCCAAGTACCAAGCGGAACTGAACAATAAAACCATGGCGCTCGGCTCCAGTTTGCAGAGGTACAAAGTCGACGCCAGGTCCCTGAAGGATAAATTGAATTCTTGCAGCGGGAAGGAGACGGCAAGTCAGAAGATAATCGACGAATTGGGGAAAAAAATTCTGGCCCTTGAAACTAAGCTCAACGATCAAATTACAGGGATTGTGGCACAGAACAAGGAAACGGATGTTAACAATCAGGAAGAAAACATCATTTAAAAAAGGGAGGGGGGGAATAAAGAAAACTGGGGGAGGGGGTAAGGTTTAGAATATACTTTCTTTTAAAAAAAATAAATAGATTTAACAGATATTCAAATTATTCCCTGCATTTTTAGGGGAGTAAAGAGGGAAACGGCTCAATTATATTATAAATGGGGGGATTTTAAAAGAGCACCTTATTACATTATTCAAAGGGTTAAATTTTGTAATATAAAAAGTTGTGTACTCATATTTTGAGCGTTATTATAGGTTTTTTAAGGTAAACGGCATCATTAAAATATTAAACACTTTATAAATTTTATTTTTTATAAATTTAATTTAATAAATAATTCGATTATTTTTTTGCCGTGAAATGATTTCTTGTTTGATTTTTTTTTTTGTAAAAATTGCCAGAAAGAAGAAAAAAGGTTGAATAAAATGCTAGTTAGTTAGAGCTAAGTAAATAATTACTTTATATATTATATTAATTTTTTTTATTTTATAAAGATGTGTGGCAAAAAAAAAATTTCCAATTAAATTTTTGTTTTGAAATACCGCTTATAAATATTAAGAATATATTTATAACGATTTTATTTATCGGTGTAGGTATAAAACATCCAAGTCAGTAACAAAAAATTGAATTCAAATGAGGGGTGGGAGGTGACTATAATTGTTAGATTTCACAAATTGTGTACAGATAGTCAATAGTCTCAAGATAACGGGGATCCTATTTGAATTCTAAAAAAAAATATTAAGAATGATTCATATATTTTTTTTAAATTACTGGAAAAATTGAATAGATAAATTAGTGGACTGAGCTTGGTGGCGATTAAATTTAGAACTAAACTGACGTCTGGGCCAGTTTCTACCCCCCCCTCCTCCTCCTCCCTCATACAGCTGCTTCTTAACTATAACTAAGTTTTGGTCACAAGGAAGAAAAAAAACAATTTTTGTAGCGCTTTTTAAAAAATAATAATTTTAAAAGTCAAAATTAAATATGATTTATAAGCATTATTTTTTTCAAAAGTGCCATATTTCAGCGTCCTTTTTCGATAGTAATTTAGTTAGAGCTAGTGTATACCTATAAAATAACGAATCGAATAGTCGTATTATTCGTATACGATCCGTATTTTCGAATCGAATAATTCGCTAGACGGCCCAATTCACTCGAAATAAGTGTTGTCGTTTAACGGCTCGATTTTGCTGATATATTAACATTTTAGCCAAAATAAATATTACGAGAACCTCGGTGATTTGGTTAATAGTTAAAAAGCCCAATTAAGATTGTTAGCTAAAATAATATAGTGTAAGCATCGAGATTTGGCAAATAGATGGTCTCCAAGCATTCCTGCCAGCTATGCATAAAGTTATTTCGGTTACAATCTAAATCGGGCCGGTTTTTTTGAATCGACCCGAATCCGGCTTTTTAACGGACACTACATTTTATCGTATATAAAGAAAAATTTCAATTTTAAATAGGTTTTATTTTGAGAGAAAAATAAAAAATTGATAAAAAAAAAAATTTATTATTTTTAACAAGTATGGGAGCAAATCATAAAAGTTCATTCATTAAAAAAATATAAAAAAAATTATCTATTTAAAAAATTATGTTAAAAACACACACAAAATAAAAATTGAAAATAAATTTTATCATAACTCAATGACATATATGTTAAATTTTTTTTTTTTATAATACAGTGTATATAGGGAATTTGGGGTTAGAAAGAGAAAGAAAATCACTGAAAAAATATGTGTTTTTTGTACGCATGAAGAAAGGTTGAATTTTTTTGTGTTTTTTGATTTAAAAAAAAATTTTTTTTTAAAAATTCTATATTAACAATCTATAACATCTAAATAAGATAAAATATTATAAAAATTGTTTGACAAAAAAATAAATTGAGGTTATATGAGAATTTACGATAGAACTCAATAGGAGATCCATTAAAATTGGTTATCTGTTATTCTTATCTCTTATCTCTATTCTGTACTGTTATCTTTTTTAAAAAATATATATATGTATAAGATGGAATCATGGTGAGTTAATGAGGTTGACTGGTTGAGAATGTTTGAAGAATTCTTATAACAGCATATGTAAAATAAAATATGATGCCAAATCTTATACTTACATGGGGGGGGGGAGGGTTAAACCGTTTAAAAAATGGAGGGAAATATTCAAAAAACAAATATGCAAAGTTAAGGTTGGTAAAAAATAAAATAATATTTTTATGAATATTCCTTTAGATGGGGAAAAAATTGATGCTTAAAATTTGTTGTTTTATATATAAAAAAAATTCATATAGCTAGAATACTCCCGATGTTATTCTGGTTTTTCTTACGGTTAATTTTTATTGAATCGTAATTGAATTAGGAAAATCGGCTGATAATATTGGCGTAAAATAAGGGAGAAGAAAGGTAAAATGGAACCCCATGTATTCAATATTCTACTAACGAGCGAGCAGTCTAAAATACCTGCGTTTATGATTATTTCCAAATCCTCATGGTTTATTTAAAATAGATTGTGGGAAGAAAAGCGGGAATTATAGATAGTGAATCGTCAGAGATTCCGTATCCCGTTACGACAAGGACCTCGAACAGGACCAGCTACTTGGTGCGTTTTTACGCAAACTTATTTTATTAAAATTTATCCGATAAAATATTAAATTAATTTATATATATATAAATTCGAATTTAATTTCTCATATTCCATGTGGTTTGTAGTGTATGTATAATTTGAATAAAACATTGTATCTTGATTTTTTTAAATATAAAATTTCCTTTTTAAATTTTCGATTTTTAAAATTTGATTGACATTTTTATACTTAAATTTAATTTGGTCAAATGTGCCGGGTTTGAAGCCCTGGCGGCTAGTTCTGGTTAATTTTTTTTTAAATAAAAAATTACCCTCAAGCCAAATTATTTTCATTTCCCGCCAAAAAAACTCGGAATTCGCTAAACTAAAACAGAATAGATTTTTTTTCCTTTATAGATTCTCAGGCTCAAATTTAAAATATAAATTCAACTTGTCATTTCCGCTAATAGTCAAACACCCCCCCCCCCACACATTTCCCGAAAAACAGCCAATCATGACGTTCCAATTTTTATCGCTTAAATTCCAGTTTTGATGATATCGATGCATCTATCCAGGTATTTGAATTTATAACCGAACTCAGCAAAAGATTTTATAGTGCCCAGCAGAACCCGAAAAAAAAGATTAATCGATGATAATAATTCCATTTTTTTTCTTTCTTTCAAAAGGGTAGATTAATCTAATACAAATATTTATTTACTTACGTGGCATAATATATTAAAATTTAAGAACAAAAATGGTAAAATAAGAAATTTGTGTTATCATCATTAATAGCAGTCGTTTTACTATATGAAAAATCAACAATATGGGAGACAAATAATTAAATATTTGATTTACGCTCGTTCGGATAGATGTTGAGAAGAAAGAGGCATTAATTTTGTTATATCTAAATCGGGGAGGGGGGGGGGTTGCGTTCATAGTTCGATGATAGCTCTATTTTTAGCCGATTCACAAAACTGCATATAAAGCACACCGGTTTTATAGCCGCATATACAAATTGAGCATGTCAGCCTATAACGTTGTAATCTTTAAAAAATATCTTCAAATGGCCTTGGAGCAAAGCGGGACAAAATTTTTGTTTAGACTTACGTATATCACTTTTTATTAGTATAACTTATTTACAATTTTTAAATATGCGACGAGACTCATTAATAGAAATATGAGTTCAACCTCAATTTAAACAAGGGACGCGTTACGTTTTTGTTAATTTTAAAAATTACGGCATAACGTAAACGTTCAATTTATGCGCACTATTAAACTTTTTTTAAAAACTAGTTATTTTTTATATGGCGTGCGCTTATAAGATTGAGATGAAATCAATTGATTTTAACTATTAGCCAACTATAGTTGCAACAATTCTGTTTGAAAAATTGAAGCGTCCTAAATCAATTCAATAACTATATTTCTGATGCCTTTACATTCAAACGCCTAGAGTATATATTACTCTGTTGAAGAGTTTTAGTCAATTTCAAAAAAAAAATTACTAAACCTTGTTATATTTAAATCCGAATATTAACACATTCTTCCTTTGGCTTTTCTTTAAAAAATCATAGTTCAACTCTCAAGAAATCGGAAATAAATTAAGTCGCGTCGCAGTGGATGTATTTGCTTCGGCCATGCTCATAAATCAAATTGACGGATTTATTCTAGCCATTACCCAACTATACTTACAAGTCAAGCAAAAAATAGAATAATCAATGACTTATGTGGGGTTTTAAAAAATATTTAATTTCTGATATCATTTGCTTTAGTGAAAGGCTATTTTCTTTATAGCCAATCAAAATCATCGTTAATATTAAAAGTATCTTCTGGAAAAATTTAAAAAAAATATATCTTTCTTAATATTTTGTTGGATTTTCAAATAGGATATCTTTTTTTCGCTTATTCTTATTAATTGACGTCTCGAACCATTATAAAGCAATGAATAATTTAGATGCTCAAGGGAAGTATTATTAATATATTCCTAGTAAAATATTTACTCATGTAATTTTTTTACAACAGATAGTAGCAAATTTTGATCAAATTTATCATGCTCAATCATCCGAGGAAGTACATTTCTTATGGCTTCACTACAGCGTATATGTTTATCCAAATTGAATGGATTGTAATTTACTGTTTATAAAAAAAAATGGGAAAAATTAGCGAATTTTAGGAACGAAGTAAATATTCCTCCAATTTTTAATTTAAGCACATTACAATTAAAATTAATGATTTATCAAATATTTGCTAAGTAATTTTTACAATCGACTAATGATTAAAATGTCAAATCGCCGAAACCCATGCTTAGCCCAACTTAAAATTTTGCATATTTATTAATTAATTCTATAAGCTATAAATAAAAAAAAATATGTCGATTTAGTTTTATGATCATTTCCGGTTTATTTCCAAGTTTTGACATTTAAAATTCTTATAACAATATTTAACATGATAAAACTCCGAGGACCAACTATTAAGGCTATATAAAGAAATTTTAATAACGCTTCTAGGTCAATTATTATATTCAAAGATATCTAAAATTAAAGGGACTGCATTTACCCCAAAATGCCCCATTCTTGGGTCTTTTCGGTATCTCAGACGCTGATGCTAACTCTAGTAAAAAAAATTTTTTAATAAAAATCTGATAAATAATTTCCAATAGTAATTTCTAAACTAAGATATTTGCAAGAAGTTCCAGAAGAACGATGGGTTCTGAAATTTCTAAATTTCTTTTTCTAAGCCAATTTTGAAAACGCAAACCTTAAAAGTAACCGGTTTTCAGAAAGGAATTAAAAACCGCCCGGCTTCGAAAACCCTCGGGCGCGCGAAATTGTGTCACCATTAAATTTAATGAAATTATATATTTTTTTGGAAATCAAAGGGGGGGGGGAAATAAAATAAACCCCGATATATCTAATTATTAAATATAATTTTATCAGAGATAGGCATGGCCATAATGCCCCGGATCGGAAATTGTTCCAAAGGCCGGGCTCGGGTTTGCGGGTATGTGATAAGCATACTCCCCCCTTTTTACACTCTTCCCAATTACTAAGGTTTTAAAAAAATATTTATATTTTTATCTCACTTCCTCCTTTTATTTTTTAACGATCAAAAAAAAAAAAACTTTAATTGTTTAATACAAATTCATGGTTCAAAATTTTTTTTGATATAAAATACAATAGCGAATAGCAACAATTGAAAGTTAACAAACTTATAATAATTACCTTTTCAAATTTCCATTTTTTTCTATTCTATTCTAATCCCTTCCATTAATTATATTCTTTTTAATTCATTTCGATTCTATATATATATATTTTTTTTCCTTAGATGATTTAATTTTATATTCTATTTAAATATTAATTTTTTTTCGTATTCCTTAACGTGTAATGATTAATGAATGTGATTTCGATTTATTATTTTTTTTGCTTAAAAAAAATCTCTATTTTATTCTTTATTCATAATTCATTCCCACCCCTCGTGGATCTGTTACTTAAAAAAACATGGACCTGACAGATACATTATGGGATCGGAGAACAAGAGACCTGATCGGACTGCCTTTTAAGAATCGGTCCAGTCAGATTTTTTCTCCAGACGGGGCTTTTGACCTTCCCTAATCCAAGGTATTTAAATTCCTAGGTGGCCCTAAGATGTTTTTAGTTTAAGCTAAAACCTTATTTTATTTCGCCATTACATTGGCAGCAACAGTTTTTACCGGAAGGGAACGACATAATGATCTAATGATTAAATAAACTATTTAATGATCGCAGTATATTATATAATATGATGATATTTAATACGTATATTAATGAAACCCAATTAATGTAGGTTATTAGTACATACATAATTGATAAATTTTTTGTATTTTATACTATATTATGTAAATTATTTCTCATGTCATCTTACTGTTAATTGCATTTTTTTAATTTATAATACACTAATTGCATTTTTTTTAAATATATTGGCAAACATTATATATAAACTCATCATCTCTGACCATATTTTAGTTACACCCTTAAAGTATTTTAAAGTATCTTAAAATAACGGCCAATCCGTAATTTTCCCGCATAGGCGTATCCAGAATCTTCCTAGGGGAGGGCACTATTAGGTGGAGTTTTCCGCCATAAATTTTATTGGAGGTCTTTAGGTCCGCCATTTTAGAGGGAGAGGGTTAGTGGTTTAGGAGCGGTATTTTTATTAGCTCAAAATGATGTTTGAGAGAACAGGCAAATTTGGGGATGGGGAAATCCCCTTTTAATCACTCGTTTGTCCGACACGAGGAATCGGGTATTACAATTCCTGTAATATCAGATCATTCAAATTTAAAAATCGCTCCCGTGGATTATTTAAAATTGAGAGACCAGGAATCCTCGAGGGAGGTAGGAACAGCTGTTATTCCGGAAAGATCTTCCACATATTTTTTTATTACCTATCAATTTAAATTCTATATATGAATAGTTCAACGTATATCTTAAAATTCATTTCAATAATATGTCCTAATCATTTCAATGTAATATTAATTCGTAATATAAAATTCCAATTCATTTGTCTCCCTCGACAAATGCTGCAGATAGAAACCCTGAAATCTCTGTTTGCATTACCTCATAGGATTTTCTATCCTGAGCTAATCATTCTTTTCTCTATATATATTTAATAGAAAAAAAATTCCTAATAGTGATATACAAATCTTAACCTGCCAACCTTAGTTAGGTAACGTCATATACCCATCAGTCATTTCGGCCAGTGTCAATCAAATTGGTAATTTTTAATTAACCCCTGAAATATTTTATCTTTGGAAAAATTTTACGACTAAACAATTTACAGAAGCAATAACTTTGGAAAGTATATTTTTTATTTAATTTCCAGAACAATGATATAGCATTCTATTTTATAAAGACATATATATAAGTGAAAAATAATTTATTCGTTTTAATTATAATAAAAAATTCCTGAGAATATTTAGTTAATAGATGTCCAAACCTTTGTGCAGTTGCTATCTATGAGCCAAATCTTCATGGTGGTCTAAGATTTTTCTAAATAAATATTAAGTTTGCCATTTTTAAATCGCCTCAAAATGAGCCATTTAACAACATTATTAAATGGCAATAGATAAGCATAATATAATAGGGAATTTGTTCAAATTTTAATCCTAAATATCTCCAAAAAATATAAAAACTGGGATGCTATAATTTGAATACTGTTAGACAAAATTTTACCCATATCACTTAGGATCCAACAAAAATCCAGTTTTTATTTGTGATATGGATTGAACCATAAAATAAATGAATTTTAAATTTAGCTGAACTATATCACGAAAAGAACTAGAATGAGAATGTTATTAATTATTTTCTCCTCTATCTTAGCCTAAAAATGCTCTAAAATTTTGCAAAAAAAAAAGAAAATTAGAATTCTTAGAATATGAGTTCTAGCCAGAAAAATATTATGTGTTATGTGTTTCAGGCTACAAGCATTCCCATTAAGCATATCATTGAGTAATGTATTATATTATACATTATTTTTAAAGATATTAAGCCTATAACCTGAAAGCTTCAGTTGAAATAGGGAGTGGGGTAAAATGTGGGGTGGTAGAGTAATTTCCCATAATCAAGGAGCAAACATGTATAATATCCATACCCCCCCCCACTTATCCCAAAATATGAATATACAATGTATACAATAGATGTCTATAATGGGGAGGGGGTTTATTCTATAAGCTATTTGAAAAAAAATCTGAAATTTTAGGGGGCTAAAAAAAACTACAGCACTATTTCTGGTTTTATTTTTAATCAATAAATTTTGGTTTTTTATATCACTATAAGATGGGATTTTATAGTTTTTATTCTTTTATGATATAAATAAGGCAAAAAATTCCCTCAGAAAAATATTAATCTTCTTTAATATTTAAAAAATATAATATATTTATACACATTGTATAATGTTAATTTTAAACATATATATAAATATAAAGATTATATCTTAAAATTTTCATACCTTTTACACCATCTATTTGAGCCAGAATTATTATTGATATTTTTCTTGTATAAAATTCCTGAGATTTGTATTTTATTTGATGTATTGGCATGGTTATTATTCTTATTAAGTGTCATAATATAAAAAAAAAATTGTTTAAATATATAACATATGTTTTAATGTATGAATTTAAAATTTAGCGCGAACAAGTTTAAATAGCGCACTTATACAAATATCCATAAAAAAATTTTTAATTCATTATTAAATTGTTAAAATTTATCATTTTATTTACTATAATCATTTAACTCTTTATCTGCGAATCCCTTTAACAGTGACAATCCTAACTTTACAAAGATTCAAAATTGTTTAGATAAAGTATCGATAGGAACACTTTTTGTATATATATTTATTGAGTAATCATCTATCATCTCTGTCAGAATATTGCTCAAAATATTTTACATCTAATTATGATATGTATATTTAAATAAGAAAGGCGAAATAGAAAGTTAATATATTGTTGTTTAATTAAAAAAAAATTATATTTTAATTTAAAACTTAATCAGAAACTTATTTTTTAAACTTATTTTTTTTTAAATACTAATATTTCTATATTTTATTTACGTTATTATTCAAAACGACTTATTTCATTTTAACTACTTTTAACTTAACATTCAAGAAACTTATATTTAAACTTTTTACATATTTATTTTTATATATTTTTAAAGTTTTATATTTTTATTATTATTTAAATATAGTGCATTATATAAACACTATGATTTATTAGAAATTTTAGTGTTATTTCTGTAATAGAATACAATTTTATATATTTTTTATGAAATGATACAATAGGTCAGTGGTTATATACCCGTTCAGTTTATTTTTCTTGGGATAATGTATGACTAAAAATGCTACCTGATATGCGAAAGGATTAATATATAATAAAATGGTTTGATAAAATTAAATTTAGAAGATACTTTAATCTGTCGAATGATTAACAGATGTCACCCCTGACCCGTGGGTCAAACCTATTTATATTAAGCAAAGTATATTATATTCATCATATCTCTCGCGGAATTATGCCAGGCCAATGCAAAATAACTAATTTTGTAGATAATCCTAATAAGAGAAAATTTTCTCCTAAACCACCTGAAAGTAAATTCAAATGATATGATATAATATTTACATTATATTTTATTAAGATAATTGCTCTGAAATAATAAATATAAATTTGCAAAAAGCAGAAATGAAAAGAGCAAAAACCTTAGGATTTAAATTAGGTTGGTATAAGGCTCTTAAATCGGAATTTAATTCTACTTATTATTTGAAAGTTTCCCTTTTATGAACTTACCTCTCATGTTATAAAAATATTGTAGCTTATAAATTTTATTCAAGAGGAAAGATTGAAGAATATTGTATTCCCATTAGAAAGTGATGTTTTTTCATGGGCTAATATTTTTGATATTGAACAGGTATTGATATATTAAATAATCTTGTAATTATTTAAAGACTAAAGTTGTAATACTTGGGCAAGATCCTTATCATAATCCAAAACAAGCTCATGGTTTTATTATATTAATCAATAATAATTTTATCATATTGTTTTAGGGCTATGCTTTAGTGTTTTACCATATGTTCAACCACCTCCAAGGTTTTTAAATTTTATACAAAATATGTACATTCATATATAATAGTCTAATCAATATATATAAAGAACTAAAGACTGACATTGATGGCTTTACTCCTCCTAGCCATGGTTACCTAAAAGGATGGGCTGATCAAGGTTTTAAATCTAAACTAGATTTCTTGTCATTCATATTTTATAAAATGATAATATATCTTTTAACTTGTTGATTCAATTACATATCGATTATATTGTATATTATCTGATCTCTTTTGTTTTTAATGAAACTTAGTAGATGCACATAATTCATGTTAGCAAGACTAGAAAAAATGCTTTCTCACCTCTTATTTATGAAGATATTGATTGTCCTACTGTAATTGGATTATTGTCAGTCACCATCCAATTATTGATTTACTAAACTTTCCAATTATTATAAAAAATTAATTTATTGTGTACCTTTGAAGGATAATTAACAGGAATTATGGGTGGGATATAAATCTCCTTGGAAATTACTTGTGAAAGAGTTTGTATCATCTTGATTTAACTTAAGTACTACACCAAATATTTAATAAACCACAAAATTTTTCAGACTTTTATTCAATATAAACTTGAATAAATAATTATAAAACAAAACTTAAAAACTATAAGATAAAATTGTGCCCCTTTTGTAGGAAAAATAAAAGGCGCAATAATTAAGTAAAATTAATTTGGTGTGAAGTAGGGATGTACCATTATCGAATCGGATCGGGCTGATATTTCACCCATTTTAAAATTTCGAATTGGCCAATATTATAAAAATTATCCGACCCGATCCAATAAAAAATAACATTTTTAACAAAAATTTATATCTAAAATCATTTATTTTTATAAATAAAATCGAAATCCATTTTTATGCTTATCTTTTTAATAATTAATTAATAAACATTCTGCCATTTTGTTATTTTTTTTCTATAAAAGTGTGCGATAATCTCTTCAGAATCGGTTTTAGTGAAGCTGGTGATATTGACAGTTACCATTGCCACAAGCTGACCTCTGATAAATTGGAAATTTTGATATTTCTCAAAAGAAATCTTCAATATATTAATGTCAAATATTTATTTCAAGTTTCATAATATATTTGTTTATTACCTATTATTAGACCTGTGCGCCGCCGGCTCACGCCGGCGCCGCCACTATTTTTATTCACGCCGGAAAAGCCGCCGATTTTTATTATGGCGGCGCGCGCGGGCGTATGTAATTTTTAGAAAGCATATTAATTATATTTATATATTAAATTATTATTATTTTTATTTGAATACTAACATTAAATCTAATTTTTAATTTTTTTCATCCCAGCCCTTATTATTTTGTGTTTTTTAAATATCTTTTTAAAGTATTATTTAATATATAATTTTTTAAAACTTTATTAGAAAGGTTAAACTAAATCAAATTTATAATTTGTTTCATTCCAGCTGTAATTATTTTGTTTTTAAATATCTTTTAAAATATAAACTAATTATACAATTTATTAAATTAATTATGTAAAGCTTTATTTTAAAAGTTAAAACTATATCAAATTTATAATTTGTTTCATTCTAGCCCTAACTATTTTAATGTTTTTATATATCTTTCTAATGTTTAAAATAAATATGAAATCTAATAGGGCGAAATTATGTATTGATGTCTGCTTAGATTTAATGCCATTTGATTTTATAAACAATAAAGGAATGACAGACTTTCTAAAGGTTTAAAATTTATATAAGATTATTAAAAAATAAATTGTTCAAAAATTAGAAATATAAGATAATTAATTCCTCGTCAGAATTGCCAAATAAGACAACCATTAGTAGGGATGCACTCTACGATGTTTATTTATTTATGAAGGCGCATGTTTTAAATTTGATTGACTCTGGACCAAAATTTTGTTCTATCACTTTTGATTTGTGGACCGATCATTTCAAGCGTCGAAATTATATCACATTTAGTCTTCATCATTTAGATAAAAATTTTGATTTAATACCCTCAACTAGAAATGTGACTCAAAAATAAACAATAAAGGAATGACAGATTTTCTAAAGGTTTAAAATTTATATAAGATTATTAAAAAATAAATTGTTCAAAAATTAGAAATATAAGATAATTAATTCCTCGTCAGAATTGCCAAATAAGACAACCATTAGTAGGGATGCACTCTACGATGTTTATTTATTTATGAAGGCGCATGTTTTAAATTTGATTGACTCTGGACCAAAATTTTGTTCTATCACTTTTGATTTGTGGACCGATCATTTCAAGCGTCTAAATTATATCACATTTAGTCTTCATCATTTAGATAAAAATTTTGATTTAATTACCCTCAACTAGAAATGTGACTCAAAAGCATACTGGGGAAACAATATTATCTGAGATTGATAGTATTGAAGAGGAGTTCCATTTAAAATCCAAAATAATACAAATGGTAACTGATGCTGGGGCCAATGTCAAAAGAAGCGTCAGATTAGAGGATTATGAGCATCATTTATACTTAGGGCATGGACTTCATAATTTGGTTATAGTTGTTGGCATAAAAAAAGTTACCAAGATTGATATTCTCATTAAAATAATTAGAGAAATTATTTCAGCCCTCAGATATCTAGTAGCTGATTTGGAATGTGAAATTGAGGCTGAACATGGTAAATGTCTGCAGTCAATTTATGAGACAGGTAATATCTTGGATATTGATGATTCTGATCTATACCTTACCATTTTGATATGTCTGATGAATCGGATAATAGAAATGGCATTGCACCAACCAATCCAATTAATGCAAAAACTTTAAAAATAAATTGCACTACTAACTAGCATAGCATATTATTTATGCTAGGAAGTATTCGCATTGTAAACAAAATTCCTATAAATAATGTTCTAAATAAAATAGGAAAACAATCTTTAAAACTCTTTAATAATGAATAGGATATGATAGATGAGCTTTAAGTAAATCCATTCCGAGAGTCGGTGGAATTTCTTTCCTCCCAAAAAGGATCTACAATAAACTCAGGGTTATCATCTAGCAGTGAAATAGAAGCTCATATACAAATCAATAAATCTGATTGCTCAGATATAATATGCTTAAAAGAAAATATGAAAAAAAAGCTTGACCATAGGTTTCCGATAACTGAACTTCAAGTTATTTTTATTAATAAAATTATATTTTAAACATTAGATATTAGCAACTCTACTTGATCTAAGATTTCAAAATCCCAATATTGTTTCACTATATTTAAATTCAAATTCTACGAAATCATTGCAATTTCTAATACGACATTTAAAACTTTTAGAGCATGATAGAAATGCTCAGCGTGAAATTCAAGTCGAGGATGGTACATCATGCTCTTATATAGCGAAATTAGCTCGAAAACATTCCCTTCCTATTAACGATTATAACAATATTACTAATCTTAAACAAGAATGCCATATTTTGCTCAGCCAAAATATTATTTCAGAAGAGGATGCATTGCTCTTGGAAGAAAAAGCGACTGGAACTTCCTATGCATGCTAATTTAGGTAGGAAGGTTCTTTGCATACCTGCAACCAGTACACTCAGCAAAAGAATTTTTTCCATTGCTGGATTAATACTCAATGCTAAAAGGTTATGTCCTACAAATCTTGATAAAATACTGTTTATTCATGACAATTATAATTTTGCTAAATCTGAATTCTGACTTATTATATTTCATACTTCATATTTTGCCTGCATTCCAAATTTATTTTAATTATAATAAAAATCAATAGAATATTTCTTATATGTGATGTTGATATGACTCTGATTGAGTAAAAATAAAAATACAATTCCTTAGTCTATTTCTGAGAATGAGAAAATACATAAATTTAAATTGGAGTGAGACGGGAAATAATTTAAGATCAATTAAACTATGTTAGCAATGTGTTAGAAAAGATCGCCTACATAAATTATAAAAAATGTAATACATTAATTTATAAATTAAATTCATTAAAAAATATATTGATTATAAATTAAATTCATTAAAAAAAATTTTAAAATAAATATTGCGCCGCCGCCGCCGAAAATTTAGTAGGCGGCGGTGAATTCGACGCACCGCCGAACGCCAATAAAAAAACCGCCGCCGTATTGAGACATCGGCGCACAGGTCTACCTATTATGTATGTAGATTAATGTTATTACTTATTACATAAAAGTAATTAATATTTTATATACTTTAAGAATAGAAATTGAATTAAATATAAACTATAACTGATCATTATAATACATTTAAATGTGGTATAGTTAAATTATAGATGTTATACTAATAAAAAGTATATTAAAAATTAAAACCATTGGTATCTTTACAGAAGACAAAATTAGATATGGATATCGGATCGGGAATCGGCCCATATCAATTTAATATTGGATCGTATCGGATAGGCCTCCAAAAAGGTGATAAAAATAAAGGTGAAAAAAAGTTATTAGTTTTATCCGATATCAAAACCATATTTAGATTTCGGGGATAATTATAGCCCAAGATTCCATATATTCTCGTGGTTATGGGCAATATAATTATCACAAAAATAGTTCTTAAGATTGAGGAACAGACCGAAAACTATAAAGATGATTAGCTTAAAATACTGAACATACATTAAACTATTTTAGAAAAGATATACCCCAAGGGCAAAAATTTAAATAAATATAAAACAATTATTAATATTAACCAAATTTTTAAGGTTAACCAGAAAACGGTTAAAAAAATTTTCTTGTGCCATGGATTGTGGAAGATGAAAGGCATAAATTTTTAAAGAATTTCTAATAAACTGTTGTCCATTCACATACTTGCAAATAATCTTTTAATATCAAAAAATGGGAAGGAAGATTGGCAAAGAATGTTATTTTGTTTGACAGAAGTTTATCTATTGTCCAATTAAACATGGAGAAATGTATTTTAAGGGTAACTTTTAGGAAGTGCTTAATTTAAGCAATTTGAATATGTGCTAATGATCTTAAACCAAGATTTAAAAAAAACAGTTCGTATGAAAAGATAGTATCAAATCTAGTTAAAAAAAATTTAAATTGAAAGAAATATATCCATTTATAAGATATTGTTTTCTAAATATTTCTTGGTATTTTTTTTTGCATAAAAGATTTGCTCGCTTTATTACAAATTTTAGAAAACATTTCATTGAAGCTTCAAAAAATCGCCATTCTTTTTTCTTAAGAGGAAGCTTTTGAAATACGTTAAAGCCCCAATATGGGTGGAATCACTATTATACCAATCTTCAGTATACTATTATCTATAGTATTTTTTATTATTCCTTTTGTGTAGTTTGGCGGACAAAGTTATCAAATCATTCACTTCCCGCGTAGACGCATCCTTGTATCATATAATACATTAAAAATTTGATTTATCTATTTTACCGGAAATTTTATTTTTTAGGGGTATTGTTACTCAATTCCGTTTTGACTGTCCGAGCTAACGAAGCTAATTCTCACAGAGATAAAGGTTGGGAAACCTTTACCGATGCCGTCATTAACCACCTGAACATCAATTTGACGCGATTGGTTTTCATTTTATGGGGATCCTACGCTCAAAAAAAATGTCAAAAAATAGACGACGTAAATTACCATTAGATTTATTATTTAAAAATATAGAAGGTTTGATCAAATTAACAAAAAATATACAAACCTCCTATCACGTCCTAAACATGTATTTACTATCATATGATTCTTATTGAAAAAAAATATATTGCATTTTCTTTAGTATTTAATAATAATACTAATAAACTCGTATATATATTTTTTATATAAGAAAATTAATTTTATAAATATAATTTTTGATTGTATTCAAAATTTAGTTCTAAGTAATATTTAAGCCTGATTTTTTGTCCCCCCACCCGTTTTTTACGTAAAAAAAAGGCCCTCATTGAGATCCGAGGAAACTAAGATTGTTGCCTCGAAACACGGCGATGATTGTAATACCATCGAAAAATTATCCATCCAGTGACCATTTTATCGAGGTTTCCATATGTAGAATTAAAATTCGCCAAATTAAATATTAATTTTTTTTTATTGATATTATGACAGAAAAAGCATCTGATACTAAAGTCGGCCCACCCTTCTCCCTTATCGGCTCACAGAGGTTTTTTTGGGTGCAAACATTTTTCCAAAACGAACGAATATCTAAAGTCAATCAATAAAATCGAAATCGATTGGTCACACCTTCCCCTTGATTGATTGTTGGTTGAACCTCGTCATTTTCATCTAAGAGAATTACGAATAGCTCAAATTACTAGAACAAAATAAATATATTTTTTTTAATTTCCTATTTTTATGTAAATAATTTTAATCAATTTTTCTAATATATAGATTTTTTTTTATCAATATAAAAATTTATATGAAATTTTATCGGAATGAGAATAATGAATAAATTATATATTTTATTCTTGTCTTTTTTACAAACATAACTCAATTTAAATAAAAAAAATGAAATTATTAATTTATTTTATTTGCCTATGTATATAAATATATTGTATAAATAATTATTAACATAAATCTTGAATAATTATATAAAACATTTTGATATAAACCAGATCAAAGGTTATGATCAAGGCTAAAATTAATTTAATCATTATATTATAGAATTATACAAATTTTATTTTTTTTTAAAAAATATATTAAAAATTAGCGCCATGCGTTTTCTATTAATAAATCATTTTATATTTGGAAAAGGGGGGTAATACATTGGGTATTGATAATCAATAATTGAAGCTCATCAATCCATTACTGGTAAACGTGTTTCTCTTTAGAGGAGGATCTGTATTTAGGCCTTTGAGTGAAGCGGAATTAATGGGTTGAGCGGATGATAAAGTATGATTGTTTAATTGTTCGTGGTTGTCGCTAGAGTCGCCATTGCTGATTTCTGACGGTAAATACATCGCGGCAGTGGGCAGGAAAGTGGAAGGAATGAACAATCTAGGATGTTTCCTGTTGGCGTTACAACTGGAATTCGTGTGGGTATTTTTATCAAAATTCGTGACTGAAAGAGTAGAAGGGTCTAGATTTTGATGCCGAGCTGTTTGAGGCAGCTAAAAAAAAGGTTAATTTTTTTTAAATATATGCAGTAGGATACAATGCCATTAAATGTGGATTGATTAAAAAGGTTATAAGGAGGAGCTTTTTTTGTGTCTTAAGATCTTTATCATCAAATTTAATATTATAATAATTACAATATAAGCTAAATTTTTAATTATAAATATTAAATATACATACCAGATCTAGAAAAAAATATATTAAAAAAAACATTAAAATCAGAGCAGAAGAGGTACCATTGAACGGCCCATTTTTTGGGTTTGGTTCGGGTTTTATATTTTTAGATTGGGCCCGGATTTTTAAAAATATATTACATTTATTTTTAATTTTTATGGCTAATAATGGAGATTAAGAAAATTTTTTAGGCCCGGCCCGGTTATATATAAAAAAATTAAAATATGGCAGCTAAACCCGTTAGGGCCAGTCTGATTTAGGTTAAATCGGCGGGGCTTAATGACCCATGTATAGATAGATATGCAGTGATTGGCAAATTTCGTTATAATAATTCAATATAACCTTATTTCTGCATTAAAATTTGAATGGGGGAAAAATAATAAGACAAGTTTGTAAATGTTTCTAAAATAAAATTATGGGAAAAAAAATTTTTTCGAGAATTCTCGGACAAGATTTTTGATCAAATTTTGCCTAAAATTTCAAATATTTTTTATAAGTAAGGCCGGATTCAGAGTGAGATTCCGTCCGACACGATTTAACAGCTGATCGATTTTTAAAATTTGTTGAGATCAATTTTTTTTAAATATGAATATTGATTTTTAATTTCTAATTCTATTCATGATAATAATATAAGAATTATTGATTTTGATAGCGAAAATTGATCTCATTATGAAAATTTTAAAATCGATCAGCTGTTAAATCGAATTGGATCCAACTACGAATGCAACCTAAATCTTGAGTCATTTATACGCGTAAAAAAATCCTGATCTCTAAAAAAAAGTCATCAATTTTATGATCTTCAAAAAAAAAATTCAAAAATTTGATTTAAATCAAGGATATTTATCTTGTAAAAAAAATCTGTTATAATAATAAACCATTTTAAAATTTCATATTAGATTAAGTACTTATAAAAGCATTTATTTCTCAATTAAATAAAAATTATAATGAAGTTATAGCCAAAACATAACATGTAAATCCACCAATCCAAGCATAAAAAATTAAATAAATTTGTGCGAATTGTATTCTAACCTTGATGTCTTTATAATTTTGTAATTTACTCATTTCTTAAAAATTATATTAATTTAAAACAGGTGCCAACCACAAGAAACGAATATTCGAATAAAATATTTATATATGTAATATTTTTTATGTCTGATTTCGATGTTATATGAAAATGCTAAATTTATTAAATATCAGCTGATTATTGTAGTGTGCATCCATTTTTTAAATAATGTTTTATACCTATATATATTGTATATAATATATTTGGAAAAGTAAGGTGGGAGATTTGTTGGAGAAATTTTTTTGGCACATATCAGGAAAATTTTCGAAGGAGGGGTAATATTTGAAATCTTTCAAAAACTAATAATTTTAAAATATAGGAACTAACCATTCAGTTCCAATCGGGTTATATTAGTTTCAAATTTTAAAACGGTTTAGTATTATGTTATTTTTAAGACAGTATATATCAGTGCGTTCCTGTTTTTATAGTTTTGATTTTTGTTAAATTTTTGAAAAAATAAAATTTTAAGTTAAATATGTTAAATTTCTTTATTTTATTATTTAAAAACATGCATATTTAAGTGACATAAATTCAAAAATATGATCTCAAGAATGGTCATAAACAGGTTCTACAGTTATAACGGTTTATTTCGGTGTCGTGGTTAGACACCCTGATTTAATATAATGCAGGGCATTACGTCATTTGCCAAAAAAACGATTGCTATGTTTTTTTGAGAGCGTTTACGTTATAATGGTAGTTTATAATAATTTAGAACATTGCTGCGATTCTATGAATAAGGAACCATAACCTTTTTTTTTACTCCAGGGTTTCAAAACTTTGATTAGGTTGTTAATGAGGAGTAATTGCATAGGAATGATAACATGTGTGCAAGAATCAGACACCTTCATGTGCCAAAAAATTTTTTATCAGGCCTGGCCTAAACCTGCAGTTAAAAAAAATTATTTTAGCTCCCAGGCTCGGCCCATATTTAATATTTTAAAAAAAATTCCAAGTCCATACCCAAAGATTTAATGAAAATAAACATTATTTCAGTGTATTTATATTTAAGTAATCATTTCCCTTGCAATTGGCCCAAGCCTATTATAAAAAATTTTCAAAAGGACCGCTAAGAAATATACTAGGCACATGCACGGCCCATTGGGCCGGACCTGCCCATAGAATAGGAGATAGATTTAGAGTTTCTACTTTAAATGTATTTTATTTTCTTTATTGAGTGCGTTCTGCTTTTAACCTTGCTTAATATTTATTTGCCAGGGTAACGCTGAATTTGCAGTAAAAGCGTAATTATCATAAGGTACGTTATTTAAAGCAGCATTATTTAGAAAATTAGGCCAATATATAAACATAATTTATAAATATGGAGCGATATGATGATAACGCTATGATAACATTTTAAAAACATATATTGCGGCGTATATTTCAAAATTATTAACGCTATGAAGAATCAGCTGTGATTTCGATAGCGTTAAAGGCAAAGCTTAAATATAACGTGTTTACTATAAATGGGGTTTTACAGTAAATTTATAGTAAACGCGTAATGTTCAGTCGTTGCGTAATTTAACTCCATCGAAATCAAGACTTGATTCTTCATAGCGATAATATTCAATAAAATATATCTTCTGCTTTATAACAAATATTTAATAAAAAAATAATATTCTGCATTTAAAAAAAAAAAATTGTCAATAAAAAACTTATTGACATAATTTCGCTATTTTTATAATAGTAGCTCAAAATTTTTATCATCGTATAGCAAACATATCTTTTTCAAATTTTATCATAGCGTTATTATTAACCCTTCATTCGTAGTTAAGCGAGAATCTGCGGTAAAGTATACAAAATTGGATTGGGTAGAAAATATCATACTTAATTTTTCTTGTGTATAGGAATGAAACCATTTTTTATGAAATTATCATGTGTTAAAAATGGCTATCCAAATACATCAAAAATAATAATTTAAGCTTTTGGGTATATCTCGTATTTCATTTATTTCCCTGTAAAAAAAAAATCTAAGAAAAATCGATATAATAGTGCTCCCAAACTGAGCGTTAAAAAAAATTGTAATTGGTGTTTGTAAATTATGTTATCGTCTGCCTTTTTTTTTTATTTCATTGATTTCTAAATTATTCCATTTTTAAAAGATAAGTTAATTTTATCTCACATTTTATATAAATATTGAATTAAATTTACATGTAAATTAAAAAAATTCTCCTCTTTATCATTCTTATCCGGATAACAAGGTTTTGTTAGCTTTCATGCGGAAAAAAATAGTGTTCTTAAAGAACTGATCATAGGTTAACGCGCAAAATAGTGTTAAACGGCTCGATTTGAGCTGTACGCCTAAGGGTAGAGAATTCGCCAATAGATGTTCAATCCTATGTGCCATCTATGAGCAAAATCTTTAGGCTTACATAATATTTTTTTGGATAAAATATTAAGTTATCCGTTTTTAAAAATCGGTTCAAAAGTTCGTTTAACAACACTAGTGCAAAATGAATGAATAAAAAGAGTATTGAAAAAAAAGCAAACTATTTGAGTTTGCAATGCTCAATATGCGCAAGTGTTAACTGTTAACCTATAAATATAAATATTTTATTTATCTAGTGTAAAAAAATAAATTTAACAATGAAAGAATAAAAATTTTAAGAATTTGTATCCAGGTGGCCGATTTAATTTTAATGGGATAGGTTCTAAATCGCTAAAAATTGGGAATCTGGCTTATATCTCCTAGAAAATTTTTAAAGTAAATTTGAAATTAATATTATAGATGCTAGGGGAGTAAACACTTGTATTTAAATTGAAAAAAAAAATTGTTAAAATAGAGGAAATATCATCCAAAATCCCAGTTTTGGAAATTTGGATATTTCCTCCATTTTAGCGATTATTTAAAATTCTCAATTTAAATACCTAGCATCAATTAATATTAATTTCAAATTTACTTTAAAAATTTTCTAGGAGATATAAGCCAGATTCCCAATTTTTAGCGATTTTTGTTTTAGCGATTTAGAACGGGAACTATTTAACCAGCAAAAAGTTTTTTTAAAATGGTTAATTTTCTAACCTATCCAAAAAAAGGTTATCAAATTATTTATACAATGTAATAGGCAGAACACTTTGTTATATTCCCAAAATGATAAAATTATGTAATGCTTACCGTAACTCCCCCCCCCCCTTCATCCCTACCTATTTTAAATTATAACCTTAATACTGATAAATTTTAATAGTATTATTAGTGGCATTGTTAAAAACATTTTTTTAATGCATCATAACCTGAGCCAGAATCACAAAAATAAATTCAACTATGCAACCAACCCAATGGTTTAGTTAGATGAGTTCACACAAAAATTCTATAAATTTTTTTAGAGTAAAAAGGAATAATTGTATATAGAACTCATTTCTGGTATTACCAAAATTTTAATTCCATATACTCATATATGTCAAACCATTGAGGTTGCCCAAATCAAGGTCATTTTTTGGCTTAGCACAGTATTTGGGGGTTTAGTTCAATAGTGCAATTTAACAACATTTGTATAATGTAACATAACAATATATTATAAAACTTACTGAGTTTAATGAAGGTACCATATACCCATTAGGTTTGCAATGTAATAAGTTAACCGCGATGCTACAATCTCTTTTATATCTTTCCTGTTAAAAAAAGAATGAATTTTTTAAATAAATTAATTACAATAGACTAATGTTAGTAGTTTTAAATATATTTTATTAAATATAATGCCAAAGATTATATCCTTTTTTAAATTTATTAATTTATATAAAAGTCATATGAAATTCTTTTTAACAAAATTTAAGGTGTATAAAAGCTAAAAACATTAAAAATATTTAGAGAAGTACTCTTTCCTTTTCCTTGAAGATAGCCAGCCAAATTTGTAACTCAAAATTAAATTTTTTTTTATTAACCAACTGTAAAACTTTATTCAATAAAATATTGTATAAAAAATTAAATAACAAAGATCTGAATATAAAAAATTCTAGGGTCTGTAACTAAACAAATAAAAAATTTGCGATCCCAATATTAACAGATATAATACATTATTGTTGAGGATTTTCCTAATTTAATTTCCTACTCAAAGCCTGATGCAAACAAAACTCAATAATTTTTAACCATAAACCACAATTTATAAGGTGTAGCACAAATCTAGTGACAGCTACAATATTCTCTATTTTTTAATCATTAAAATTGTTTATAAAACTAGTTGTTAAATTAATGTACATGATCTACTTAATTACATTTAATAATCAAATATCCTTTAAGATTAATCAAAATTTATTTTAATGAAAATTTTATATATCCATTTCTATGTATATTACATTCTCTTTTTCAATTTCAGATATGGCAGTGGACAGATTATAGACTTGATGGGATAAAATATCAATATGTTTTGTGTATTCGTCTTTATCTTTTTCAGACCTAGTAACAACCTCAAGTAAACGTTCTTCAAGCTTACCATTCAAGGTTTGTAAATTTTGATGATTTTCAAGTAGTCTATTATTTAATTAAGTTAAAATAAAATAAACGGCATTTACCTTTCATATCTATCCTTATAAATAGAGGCTTCGTCAGAATGTTTATGAATTGAATCCATATTTTCCAATAAGCAATACGTAAAGAGTTTACGCTATAGTTTTAAAAAGCATATGGTTAAATAATACTTAACAAGGATAACAAATTTAAAAACCTCTAATAGAAATATTTATAATATTTCTGGTATAACCAATGACATATAGGTATAACCTTTAAATCGATATGGTTTAAAGATATATTTAATTTCTTATATTTTGATATTGACAATTTAAATCATGCTAAATATTTTTGACTAAATTTTACTACACAAATGTTAATAATACGAGAAAACTATTAAAATTGCAACGTTTTCCTCCTCACTCAAGATATGATCGACAAGTTAATCGGTCCATAGTCAGTATGTTGGATCCCCCTTTACAGTTTTTATGATATAGAAGCCAAATGCTTCAAAAATATAATTTCTAGAAATGTTTCCCTACACTCCCTTCACCATTTATATAAAATTTAAAAATAAATAAGTACAAGTAAATAAATTATATTTCTTAAATATATTAACCATAGTTAAAAATTTTAATTAAAAAAGCATTTCAATTAAATTATTCTTAAAAATATTTAACCTTCCGATAAAATTTATCGAACTAACTAATAGACCCCCCTCCCCCACAACAAATTCCTGTCTCTATGGCCTACATTACTTGGGGTGTACCATCTACATTCATAAAATTTTTAAAGTTTCGGGAAACTTCTAAGTAGTCAGGGAGTAAAGAATATTTTGGTTGGAATGATTATGTATAATTAGTGAGAAGCGTTTTTAATCAATGTTAATGGGAACCGATAATATTTAAATTTTGGGCATTAAGTATAATCAAAGTATCGGAATTGAAAAGTACTTAGTTGGGGGTGGGCGGGGGGGGGGGAGGGGGTTAGAATCTTCTAAGTTAATGATAATAGAGTTTTCTTGGTCTAGCTCTAATATTACATCTGATGAACATTTCTTTCATAAGGGTAGCCAGGATAAATAGAGAGAGGGGGGCATTTAGGCGGATTTTAACTCATAAATTTTATTGAAAAAAATACTTAGTATCGCGGTCGGCAAAAACCGATACTCGCACTCTTTGTTTTTACCAATGGTTTATATAGAGTTTAATTAAATTCGAGTGGTCATGATTTTTTGTAGCCATAGCTAAAAGTGTGCAAAACATAAGAATACTTTGTTATTATTTTATAAATTTAATATGGTAAATAATGCTAGAACAATATTAAATATTAATGCATAAATGCAAAACGGTTAACTAAGAATTATTAAATAAATGCGAAGGTTTTTACTATTCATATGTTAATAATATGGGTTAATAAAGAATGGAGAGATTTATTTAATCAAACTAAAAAACATCACTGTCTTTATCAGCTCCATATAATTGGAGGGGGGGGGCATGTGTTAAGATAACATTCAATATTCGCCTAAATCATTTATAGTCAATATACGATCATTAAATCTATTTACATCAATGAATTTGTCTAACTTTTTTATTCCAAGGGCATCAATCCCTACGTTACCATAGTCAACCGCAGAAAATAACTTACACTTTGTATTTGATACTAATCATTCTTGCACTTTTTCCCCTCTCGTTCTTTATATGCAACATACGTAGTTAGTAGATCAACTCAAGGAGTGAGCATTCAAGTAAACTCTTCAATTATCTCGCATATACACATCTAATTTGTATAATAAAATTATCTATATAAAAATTCTACTGCCTGTGAATAACAAAAATTCATAATTAAGCACTTAAATTTGAATATAATAAAAGTTGTGAATTATAAAAAATATAAATTTGAATATCACAACAAAAGGTAATGGAGAAAAATTTAACCCGCTTTCGTTGATTTTTACAACCCATCTAGGATTTTATTTTATTCCAGATTACAGGGAACACTTTAAACCTCCATTAGTTGCCTAGAGACGTTTCCATTTATCCCGTATTGAGATAGAAGATGGGTTAGGAAAGTTACACGTAACTTATAAATAGTTTATTTCATTACGTTAGAGATAAAATTAATAATTTTTTCCCTATAAACGTGTAAATAAGCGAAATATTTTAAATGATGAGATAGTTCTAACCGATGATATAAGCGAAATTATAATAGATGTTAAGTTATGTAGTATATCCATTTAATACAAAATATAAAAATCAAATCATATATTCAAATGACTGATTTTATTAATGTGATATATAAATTTAGCACTATGTCCCATCTCGACTTTAAAAACGCCACGGACAAAACTGAAAATAATTTGGATCGACACTAACATCGCTACATTAAATCTAATATATTTGTGGCTCCTTATTCCTATCAGACAAAATATCAGTCCACTAATATTAGCAAATTGCGGGAATACTATCCTAAATGTTTTTTGTTCATCAGTGGGCATTTTCCCCAAGCAACACTTAAAATTATTAAGCTACTAAATTACAACCTCGTCAAATGAACTCAAAAAAAAATAAGCAAATAAAGAACTTTAAAAATAAATATGATTTCTTCTTCAGAACCCAAGTCATATAATTGATTCTCTATATATTTTATTTGTTCCTAAATTTTTATAATATTTTGATATATATTAGTTAAATTAAATCAATGATAAATAAATTCTATATATTATTAAAAATATGAAAGGTAAATTTTAAAAGTATTAACCTGTAATGTTTAAAAAAAAATGCATATGGAAACTACGATTTTCAACCAATGATTTATTTTAAAAAAGAATTAAAATTTCTTAAATTATAAAGTAGCAAGTAGCTTTGAAAATAAAATACTGTTAATATTCATTATAAAGCTGATAAAATAAGTTAGCATATCCTTCAATCTCTAGTTACCTCAATAATATTATCCTTGTCATTTCCTAATTTTTTTATATTTTCTACAAGTAAATGGTTTAAAAAAAATTTGTGTTAAGATGGGAAATGTCCTGGGAAGTCTAATATTCTTTATTATTATGCTATGAGTTTTCATTAAAACATTTTTTGCAGAAAGAAGGGGGGGGGGAGGTGTAGAAGAATCGCAAAATTTGCAGTGGGCCTCCTTATTTATGCCAATATTCAAACATAAAACAAATGTATAGTTGAACTAGAATTTTCAATTTACGTTTATTAATAATATTTTCGAATGTTGTAAAAATTAAAAATTTTTTTTATAATATTATCACTTGATTAATTCTATATACTTTTAAAATAAAGAGCGAGTATTTAAAAAAATACCATGACAATAAATTTGTTAAATCTAAAAATATATATAAATGTACTTAATAATAATATTCTCGATTGCTGTATAAAGAAATATCTCATAATTCACGCAATATGGAACAAAACATATTATTATAAAAAAGAAAATATTTTTAGTCTTCAATTAATACATTCATTTTTTGATCAATATCGATTAGATCAGAACTCTGCTGTTTACTAGCAGTTTTGCTTGTATGAATTGCAATGTCAGGTATAGGCAAAGTATTTTTTTGATATAATATCTCTTGTTTAGGTATTTTATGTGCTTTATTGTCGTGTATTTTGCGAGTCATAAAATATGCTAAAGTTTCGTAAGTAGCCAATGTTATGGCAGTGTTAGGTATTTGTCGGATAAGATGAGTTAAGAGACCACGATAAAGACCCTTGTATTTTTCTTCCCTTGCTATCACAATCAAGGTTTTCCAAAATGTTCTGTACTTGTCTTTGCCTTCACGTAGTCTAGTTCGGGCAACTTCTGTAATATATATATTTGTAAATAGAAAAATAATATTAAAAATATTTAAATTGATATATAAAATTATGATTTCTTTTAGTTCGAAATCGTTTACTAACTCTATTTATATTATGTATCATAGGATAATTATATGAATAAATTGTATTTTGATATATATTATGTATAAAACTTGGGGTCTGAAATCAGGATTGCCAGGCCAAAATTTGGTCAATTTTTTTTATGGGTTACTGAGTTAATGAAAATTTTAATTTGGCCTCCCCCATTTATTCCTATTTTTTTTATTTTATCATACTTAACAAAATCAGTACCGTTTTATAATATTTTATTCTTAGTTTTTAATTCTCCTTCTTTTAATTACATCTTTATTTATAAAAATATGTTAATTTTATATAAAAAACAAAGGATCTTTATTTTCCAACTATTTCTCATTATTATTTATAAATTAAAAATTCGCCTGGGTGGCCTAATGGGTTAGATGTATGCTTGGAAACAGAAGGACGCAGGTTCAATCCTGGTAAGGAGCTAAAAATTTTCGGGGTTTTCTTCGATGATGTATGGCTTATGATATGATTAATTTCTGAGCTGAGAAATGCCACCCCGGTTACCGACAGGCTTGGACAGTCGGGTGCTAGGATACTTGTCCAATAAACCAAAAAAGACGGCCAGCTGAACTCGTGGGTCAGATGATAACGATTTCTTGGCTAGCGCTAGGATGATGGTGACCTTGGGGCCGTTCAAGCTCAATGTCTACCAAGTTACAATGGACTTGATAACGATACTCCGGTGGGAGATCCATCGGGATTGATACCAGTGGGAGATCAGGATTGGGATATCTGTCGATTTGATAATTCTGTGTGAGGAATACTCAGGTGGGATATCTGGTCGATATTGATTTGATACACCGGTAGGGGAGATCAAGATACTTTGGCCTCGATAGTGATATACCGGTGATCGATACAAATGAAATCAATCAGAAATACAAATATATGGGAGATTAGGATTGGGATATCTCTCGATTTGATAACTCCGTGTTGGGAATACTCAGGTGGGATATCTGATCGATACTGATTTTATACACACCGGTGGGAGATCAAGATACTTTGGCCTCGAAAATGATACACCGATGATCGATACATATGAAATCGATCAGAAATACAAGGATAAAAATAGATAGCATGAGTAATATAATAGATAAGTGAAGGAGCTTACCACCACAAAAAGTGAAAGCTAAAAAGGAAAAAAATAATAATTTATAAATTAAAATAATGTGGGAGAAATTTTAAAATTGGAGATTTCAGCATGTTGGCTAAAAAATTGTGGAAGTCTCCCATTGTGGGGGGAGACCTTACAACCCTGTCTGTAACAGATAAAAATTAATATTGCATAATATTTCAAATAATCTTTTTTATAACTATATTTTATAAAGAGTGTACCATGAGGATAGGCTATAGTGGCAGCAAATGTTTTTGCCACACCAGCACAAAGCATTAATTGCAGAAAACGTATGGTTGAATTTATATCCTTTTTAGGTTGGTTAGGCAATTGTAGATGATCATCTTGGGATAAAATTTGTTTTTTAATGGATTCGTAAATGAGAAAATTAATAGCAGTCTCGGATATGCCATAATAAGAAGCGGTTACACCTTTATAAAATCCTCTTATACCATCAGTCCTGTAAGTTTGTTTAATGCATTGCAAGGCTGACAATTTAATTTCTTGATATGTACTTGTTATAGAAAAATATTTTTTTGTTTTATAATAAGGGTTAAATGTTAATTTAATTCATTATAAAGATATTTAATAAATAATATGAAAATTAGTATAAAATTATTTACAATAATCAATTAATTATATTAAGCTTTCAAATTTATTCCTATTACCTTTGATCAAGCTGGAGTCGAGTTTTGATAAACCATATTGGATTTGTTAATGTTGATGTGACAAAACCTTTATTGAAAATTTCAAAAATATAATACTTATATAAAATTACCTGCTAATGAAGCAGATAATATATAGACAGTAGGACTATCAGGTTTTAACTTTTTATTAAAATATTTTTTGCCATTTGAATAGGCACAAAAATATATTGATCTAATAATTAAATGTAAGAAGAATAGGCAAATAAATATACCTAGCAGGAGCAACACCAATTAAATTTGGAACTAATCCTTTAAATAACCCTCTTAAGCCTTCTGTTTGAAATGTATGCCTTTTGATAAATAGATGTACTAATAATAAGATATTGTATACCTCAGTAAAAAATATATTTTGGATTTTTGTTTTAATATATTATTATTAATTGCGAATTTTGCATTTTGTGATTGACTAGATACTTTGTAAAAATTCGGATCTTGATTAGATGATAACATATATTTATATTGCTGTTCAAATGGTGTTTGATAAGCAGATGACTGCAACCTAGTTTTCAAAACTTCTAAAGGACATGTCAAAACAGTAGCCACAGTGCCTGCTAATCTAATATAATTATAGTTAATAAAATCATGTTAAAACATTACCCCCCTGCTATTAGATGTACTGCCGAATCTGAGACCATTAATACATTTCAACCTCCTAGCCTACTTTGAATTTTTTTAAAAAGATAGGTGCTTAATGATATATAACGTCTAGATCCGTAACAGGAATTTCGGTAGGGGGTGGATGGGAGGGTGCATTATTATTAATGCTAATAAATTACGTTAGGCCAATTCATACTCTTCTAAGAATTAACTATTAATATAATATTAATTTTTGAGATTTTATTAAAAATATATCAATATAAACATACAATTACAAAATATAATTACAATACCTTATGGTTTCTATATTAAGTTTCAATTATAACAAGGGTATAACCAGATATTTAGAGGGAGGGGATTTACAAAGAATTTCCTAGGAGCTTTTCTATCAAATTAAGGGTGCCATGACTAGTATTACAAGTCATAAATAACCTTTATAAATATTAATTTGGAGTTCTAAGGACTAAAGTAGGGCCTCCTAGGGACAAAGCTTCCATAAGGTCTCAAAAATATAATATTTTTGTAATTTTTTTATTAAACCATAGTAGGTAGGATTTTTCTACGGTGTAGGGGCATTATTAAATGGGATTTTCAACCTTAACTTTTTTATAGACCTTTTGTTATGTTCGATTTTTATAAATAGAATTATCCTTTTAAAATCTTTATTTCATATAAAAAAGATTTTTTCTACAAGTTTGAATTATAATCATTATTAAAATTTTTAGCTTTTAATAACTTTTTTTCAAATTCTTGGTTATAGTACATATTGTATATATATATTTAGGATTAGGGGGTGGGGGAAATGTTTATTAGCTTAAAATGATAAACAGGCGGATTTATTTTCAAAGGGGGGAAGGCTTCTCCAGCTACGCAAATTTTGATATCTGTTGATACGATGCCATGATATGCATACTCCGCATATACAAATCTTTACATTAACATTATATATAAATATATTTTCACATTATCTTTTTACTAATGGTGAAGGCACATTCAGGAAAATTAAAAAAATTAGTTGCAAGCTAACTTTATTCAGACAATAATCAGGAGACATTCTACTTGTGTCAATTGAGCATGTTTGTTGGAAGAAATTTAATTTGAAAATATACTGCGCAAAATGTTAATATCCTATAGTGTTTCTATATTTTAATATAAATTTTAATCTAAGAATTATATAAGCAGAAGTTATAATGGCATCTTATTAAATCAGAGATTGTTTGTACGTATTGCATTCCCAGGCATTGAGTTTTTCCGAAGCAAATTATCTGGTGAAAGCTTTATTGACAATTTCCACTAAAAATTTATATATTTACTTTTTTTAATATATAAAAATTATTCAACTTACTAGCCCCTAATATATATAAGTTTTTAAATTGGAATTATCTGAAAATTATTTCAACTTTGTAGATTTTTAAATAAATTTTGATTTACATAAAAAGTCCTAGAGTGAATGGGCTGATACTTTTTGTTTTTGTTACACTCTTCGCCTTTGCTGTCGCTTCACTCATATTCAGAGTTTTAAAGTATCTAGATACAAAAATCTGCTATATATATCTAGAATATTTTATTCATATTTGTAGCTATTTTTAGAAACTTTTTTTTAAAATACATTTTTATAATTTTATTTTACTTTCATTTGCATTAAAAATAATAATATTTGAATTAAATCAATTTAATAATATTTCCGAGTTCATTTCATTTCAAAAACGAAAGTCAATTTTTTTTACGTATATTTGTATTTATAATTTATTGTTATTTATATTAATTTAAAAAAAAATATATAAATCATATTTTTATATCAATATTTCTAAAATAAGGAATTAATTAAATATTAGATTTTTTTGGGCTACCCCTTAAATGATGTAAATATTGATATAAGTTTTTGACAAAAAAATTTTGAATAATTTTTTTTAGAATGGAGTATCGGGATTTTAATATTTTAAAATTATACAAATATTAAGTTGCTTTTCTTTAAATATAACAATCACTCTGCAGTCAAGTGTCCTGGTAGAAGAAGTGTTTACAGATAAACGGGGTGAGCTTTAATGATAGACGATGTATCTTAGAACCATTTGAAAAAGTATCTTATAACAACTCTGCTCATATTCATATCCCTACTTATTTTTTTCAAACTCCTAGTCATGTTTTTTGATAAACTAAACTTTAATGGATATCAATTTTTTAATTGCTATTTATTGAGAAAATTCAGCATTTACAAGCACACTTGAATATTGATGTTAATTATTTTTCTTTATCGATTTCTGGTTAAGTGGATTTAAGAACATTTCAGAACAGTCCTTCAGCTAGAATGGTCCTTCAATTCTCACTCCACTTTTTTTTGCATGTATTTTAGTCATCCCTGAGCCCAGATCATGCTTAGGCAGGAGACGTAATATCTATTTTAAAAAAAAGAAAAACTTATTTTAGATTTTGTATTTTTAGTTAAAAAAAATGTTAAAATATTATTATCATGTATAATATTTTGTACAATATAAATTCGATGCAAGATTTATTAGCTAAACGTTGTATTTATAATTATTAGCTAAATTGTATCTCTTAATTCAAGTGAACAAAGTGTTACGAAATGATCGTCAAAATTTTTTTGGTAAAAATTAGAATTAAAAGCAAGAATATTTATGTCTTTTTTGTTAAAAACAAATAAATAATTTTAATGCACCGTAGATAGAACCTTTTAACAAATTCCTAAAAGGAACGAATTCAAACTTTATAAAATAAACTAGTTTTAAAGCGTTTTTTTTGTTGAAATCTTTTGATTTTAATATCAATTTTTGGGAAATTTTTTGCCTATTTTAACTTCTGTCTTCTTTTATATTTTAAAATAAATTTAAATCATCTAATAGGCTCATTTATTTTTTATAACACTAATCTCTTACTTTTTTTCCTTCTTCTTCCTCTTCAAAAATGTGGAGTGAAACTTTCATAATCTAAATGAACTTTGTAATATTTTTGAGAGCCGTAATATAGCTAACTTAACTCAATATTTTATCTACAAAAAATATTACTTATAATCCTGAAGATTTCGCCCATAGATGGCAAAAGGAGTTTAGACATCTATTATCGAGATCTTAATGCTTAGGCTTTTGTTTTCTGGTTAAAATTTTGACTTACCCGTTTAACAACTCTAGTTAGTACCTTTATAATATTTTGTGCTCGAATTACATAAACTTTATAATTGTATTTCCGCCATAAATCGTGACCTATATCGTCGGTCTAGAATTGTAGCGCTCCACTTGCGCAAATGTTTAAAATGAGAAAAATAACATTAAAGTTTAAAATAATCAATTTTGACAATAACTTTTGGCAAAAATTAATATTTTTTTTAAAAATCTAATTTTTATTTATATATATATATATATATTGGAAATAAATAAGTTATTATCCACTTCTAACTCAAAAATTTTGAAAAATATCGAGTGGAGTTCTCCAATTCTAGACCGACGATATGCTACCCTAAATGAAATTAGATTTTTCCGTAACAATGACGATGCATTTATAAGGAAAAAAAATGATATTTTTAATATGGCCTTTAATAAATCAAATTTCCTGAGGATTCCTCAAATATTCCCATTTTCAGCAAACTCACCATTTGTCCTTCAATGCTATTTCATATTTTGTACTGATATGAGTTGTCCCGCGAAAGCTTTGAATTCTTCCTGCGATCGAGCCGAAATCGAATATCCAGCGTTCTTGGGTCGAAATATTATAGGACCGAGAAATAAGCCGATTAGTCGTGAGCTATTTTCACTCCCTCTCATAACCATAAATTTTGGTTTTTATGCCTATTGAAGTTTCAAACATAAAATTTTCATACAGAGGGGATAGGGAGATACATTTTATCGGAATCGGATGGTCACCGATATTCGTGTCCAATCACCACTCTCTCATTTAAGAACCCAACCCAAACCTATTTAGTCATATACTTAATGCATAAAAAAACAAAAACATCTTTCTATTTCACCAAAAAAAATAAACACTTTTAAATGAAATTTTTATTTAAATTGAATAAAAATTGGCATAAAATATTTGGCAGATTATTTTGCCCTTATTTAATTCGATTGTATATATAACTATTCATCTTAATTCATAATAAAAGAATAAATTCACACGGTCTCCATCTCCAAAACATAAGAATTCCAGCCAAAAGAAAAGAGAAGTATTATTATGGTATATCGCCATACCTATCACTCATGACAAGTAGTCTCAGATTTGAATTTCGCTTCTCAGAATGCGAAGGCATAAATCAGTATTCATAAATGTATATTAGTTATCGATGCAAAAGTATTTTCCTATATTCTTGCTTCTTTTCCCAATTCAATTTTATCTATCATCTAAATTTAGGGGACAAAGCTCTTTGAATCGGAGACCTTCATAGGCCTGTCCACGGCCCATACCATGTTCATTCTAAATATTTTTGAGGCAGACCTAGATCTTTATAAATAAAATTAAAACCTTTGGTCCGGACCTATTTTTTACTACGGGCCTGAGCCCTCGCTGATCAAAACATCAAGGCCATGATGATCTTTGTTTCAATATATATTTTTGCAACTTTCTTGATTCAGACATGCTTTTAGTACCTTAAAAAGAGCTAAAAAATAATTCCCCATAATATTATTTTATATCCAATAAGAATTGTGTTAGGATTGCTTCTTTTAAATATCATGGTGATCTTTCCTTGTCTTTCCTACTTTATAAATATTATTATCAGTGTTCGGGGATAAAGACCATCATCCCCTGAAGAAGGTTTATTTCCATTATATATTTTTATGAATAAATTTATCTAAAGAAGACAAAATGCATTTAATAAAAAATGATAACCTCAAAATTAAAAAAATATTTTTAATATAAAAATTGGTGTTTCCAAAAAATAAAATAAAGTTTATTACGTCATTTTATTTTTTAAAATATGTTTACAAAAAGAGCGGATCGGTTTTTAAAAGATATCGGGTAAAACCGGGTTCTCTCGAAAATAGGAATATCGGTTCTGATTATCCGATATATATAAACGCTTTATTTTTTGGTTAACTTTAAACAACTTTTTCTCACTTTGAACAAAATTTGACCCGAATAAAAAGAATTGTTTATAATGATGATAAGAAGCTTGTAGAAAATTCGTTGATAAAATCAAAATGAAATTTAAAATGAATTTCTTAGTAATTCGATACAAATTATGATAGTATATAAAGGACAGGTGAATAGAATTAGATTATTTTTATTTCGTTTAAAAAAATTGTTTAAAATCAACAAATTTTTTTAAAAAAAAAGATTAATAGATATTATGTATACTAGATAATATATATTATACCTAAATTTTAATAAAGGAAAGAATTGCGTATAGATTAATTTTAGCTAGTTTAAAATGTGCTATATTAATTTTCAATAGAATAGCCTTTGATTTTGTGGTTATATTTATGATTTTAAAAAAAATTTATTTTACTATGATGGATAAAGCCTAGAATCATTACGAGATTCAATCTAGACAAAATAGTACAATTTCTTAATTCCTCACTTTAAATTTTGTCTTTGGGTTTTTTTAAAATATAATTTAACTTTTATTAGATACTGATTTTATGTATATGATATCAATATATTATTTGATAAAATTGTAAAAAAAATATAAGGCGAGTATGGATAAAATGATTAATTTTTTACATTATATAATTAATGTCAATGTTAAATTGTAAATTATAAATTATAAACGATTTGATTTGATTGCTTTGCAATAAGAAGCAAATACCTTAGTGCCATCCTTTATTAAATTCACTTCTTCTCCGTAAAGATTGAATTTAAATTATGACTTGCTTAACTAAACCACAACAATTATTTAATTTTTTTTTTAGTTATTAAAAAATTATAAAAAATTATAAAAAATCGTAGCATGTATTTTATAACGTAAATGGACAAAGTCAAAAAACATAGAAAGGACAGGACACATTTTTAATTAAGAAAATCATTTTTTTTTTAAATTATCGCTGAGAGAATGGGAAAAGCTCTCCGGATGCGCAAGGAGGTGGGTTTTGGCCCTCCCTGTCCTGGAAAATCGGTCCTTTAAAACGGTCCAATGGGTTAAGACCAAATTAAAGACTGTTTTTTAAAGATTATTTTAAATAATATTATAATTTTAAAATTGTTATACTTTTAATGTAAATGAAAATGGTACACTATAAGTTAATTATTGCCTATTTTATCATCGGTTATTCATTAGTGTACACCATTGTATTTCCTTTAATAATTCATTTCAAGTATTATATATATTTTTTTAATGAAGAGAAAATTAATATGTAAAAATTATCATATATTTAAAATTACATAATAAATAATTTCTAATTTACTCTGAGACATTTCTATACAAGATGATATATTAATTGCATATATTTATTAAATTTTTTTTTAGATATTATATTCAATGAGAGGTAATTGAAACAAAATTTAATTTCGATATTTTCGATCGTTACATTTATTTATAACTTTTGCCGTAATAGTTACTTACGCGTAGATACTTCTACACGCCCCCTCCCTCCCAAGAAAATGATTATATTATCTCACTACCGAATCAAACTTGACCAAAAAAAATGAATTTAAATTACCACACCCTCCTATTCCTCCTTCACTTTCATTTACAACCATTCCCCTTCCGCTAATGTTATTTTAGAAAGAGAAGGGAAAGATAACGATAACTTTTTACCTCCAACTAATTTTAAAGATGATCTTGTTCATAGATACCCTCTTCGTAGTAGAGTTGTTGTTATGCTGACTTCAGAAATTATCATTCCACCTTTATCCATAAAAATAAAGAAACCTTAGAAATTTTTTGGCATCAATCGTTTTTTCCAGAGTTGTTAAAAGATACTTTTTAAATGGATCTAGATACAGATACATCGTCTAAAATAATATATAGATACAGATTAATCAAAAATCTATCTAGATACAGATACCACATTTTTATATCTAGATACAGGATAAATTAATGGGCGGACAGCATGGGCGTCTTTGGATATGGCGGAAGTGATATTAAATCGAAATAAGGATAGAGCCACAATGAAGACCTATTTCATGTTTGTCCAAAAAAAATTAAGTTTAAATCGATAAATCGATAATGGTTCGTTAAAAAAATAAAAAAAACATATTCTGAAAAAAAAGATTTATTTTAATAAAAAAAAAAAAATTAATTTTTTTTTGATATTTATAAAATAAATTTTAAAATATAACAAAAACTATGCACTTTTGGAATAGTTTGTATTTAATTTTGAATAATAATTTTATTATTATGTGTCGATTTGATTAACGAAAACTTGGGAACTCTTGATTTTATATAAAATAAAATTTAAACCTTTTAATTCATATTATATATATTTTTTTTAAAAAAATTTAAAATTTAAAATTTAAAAATGAAAATAATAATTATTTAAAAATTAAATTTATTAAAATTTTAAATTATCAAAAAATTAAATACATAGGAATCATTATTCATTTATAATTGAGACATGATAAAGGAAAGCAGAAAAGGCCAATATTGTACTATAAACTTCGATATTCCAACATATTCACTTGATGGTAGCAACCGATTTAGGATATTTCATGTAAATGAGTACGATGTCAGAATGCCGCGCAGTCTCTGAACCGTCCAACATTATTTATGAAGAGGAAGCCAAGTATCTTTCCAATGGAATTGGGATCAAATCCACCACCATTTATAATTTAACTAAATCGTGCGTCGAAGCTTTTGGTATAATAATAAATTTTATTATACCGATTCTAAATGCTTAAAAAAGAAGAAGAGTTCTGGGCCCTGAAAAATTTTTTTTTTAATTGTTTTGTCCCCGCCATTTTCAAAAAAAAATGTCTATTAGCCGATTTTTTCTATGTTCTCACACTGTTCCAAACTCTCAGCTGGGTCCAGAATTTTGTATTTAAAATAGAACTTTTATTTTTTTTCTCTACAACAAAAATATATTCGATTTCGCGTTTCGCGTCAAATTTTAAATTTTTTTTCTAGATTTAATTTTTTTTTATTTTGTATCCCAATTTTAGGGACGCCACGCCCTAGATTGGAAAAAAAGGACATAAATCGTAAAAAGTGATTGGTTAAAATTTTCGGATGCGGAAAGGGGCGGAGTCAATTTAAAATATTTTTTTTCCCCTTTTCGTTTATTTTTGGTCTAAAAATTATTCGGTTTTAGGAATTAATCTTTTTTTAAATTTAACTTCATGGGTAATTGTCAATCCAGGGGTATGGGGATGGGGCAGAATGGGTTGGGGCGAGACAAACTTAAAAAATGATCTATAATAATAATAAGCAATTTTATAATTTATACACTAATAAATAGATTTTAAGGGTTTATAATGGATCAAGGCATATAATAAGGGTCCAGGGTTATGAAATATAATTCTATTTGAAAAAAAAATTATTCACTCAAAATCTTCTATTTTTCAACAAACTCATAATAAACTCTAAGAAAATAAATAATAATGACATAGTCGAATTTATTATATTATATTGCAATAAAATATATATATTTTTAAAAATTTTTAATGATATACAAACGGGTTGTGTAAATAAATAGAAGAAACATTTTTGTAATAATATAATCGAAAAATTGGTATAGTATAGATTTACTAATAAATATATTTTTATTTTTAGTTATTTTAAGCTGAAATAATTTTGTATATAATGATCTTATGGGTTTGATTTGATTGAAACTAGGGCTCACAGAATTAACTATGATGGTTTCATTATCCATAATGATTATCTAAGGGTTTCTTGGCCCAGCCTTAGGAAAAACTACTTCTCACTAATAATATTTTTATTAAAGACAATATTCCGACTCCAATTTCAGTACCTATAGAAATCTCATATAATTATGACTTATCCAAGGATTCATTTGATTGAAATAACTTTTAAGTTTTAAGTTAGCAAAGAAACCTCCACTATTAAATATTGCTCTAATATTGGCAAGTCATCTGAGATAATGGGTTATCTGGAAAATTTAATTCTCCCACCTCAATTTCGCCGAACTTTCTTAATTTTCCCATTTTTTTAGTTACTAAAGCTGACAAAGGTTTGCTTCATAATTCATTTGCACCACACTAAGGAGAGGATCAAAAACGCTTTTAAAATAGTTTTACCCTAGTTTGAGAATACTTTTTTTAATTATTCCCTACTGATGAGCAATTTAAAAAATTTAAACTTATCCCCAAAATGATCAATCTTGGAGATGTAATAGAGGCCCTGAAACTGGCCACATCTAACAAAATATCCCTTCCTATACCTTATATAACAAGAACCTCAGGTCTCCCTTTGGACGAATATTTCCCAAGGTTCCCGCATCCACTTCTCCCCTTTCCTTTATTATTACAATAAAACAGTTGAAGGTTTAGTGAGGAACTCCACCTACCCTTAATAATTCTACTTGCGCACTTTTGTAAACAATCGAACCCTATTTTGTAATAAAATAATTAGTGTGAAAACCTTCTGGTTGAGAGAGCTCCCATTTTCTTTGGGGGACGGCTCATCGCATTATCGAAGCGAGATAGTGGTGAGGTCTGTAGCTGTTGGTTCCCCTTCTTCTGTAGGTAAACAGTAAAGTTGGGGTCAGGGTGGGGGGAGGTAGTGAATTTAACTCGGATTTATATCGAAAATCCTCCTCCAAATTTAGTATGCTTCTATTTCTATAGACCTCTCTTTACCTCAAAATTCTTTAAAAGATTTCCTGACTATTACAATTATATAAATTCTTGCTTTGGTCAGATCCTTCTAAGTTTTTTTTAGGCTATGAATTCGGAGGAGAACAGTCAATAAGGTGATATCCATTAGGTTCCCATAATCTTTTACCTAGATATTCATGAAATTTATTCTAATATTTGGTCTAGACTTGATTTGGACCTCAACTTTTAGTACCTGGAGACAAAGGAACTTTATCCGATCCACGTGCTAATGTGTTTGGAAGCTATAGATTTCATAGGAAAAGATTTAAAAGCTATAGGTCTTATAATGAATATGGACAAAACATGAATTTTTAAAAGGATTCCCTAACAACATAATTTCAATAGGTTTTAAAGTTATTGATCGGGAATTGATCTCACTATTCCAATATTAACTAGCCTAAGGAAAGCAACATTAATTGTATTTGATAAAGAAATTGCTATAGCTTCCAAAATTTTACATATTGTTTAGGTTCTCATCTTTCTTTTTTAAACCTTTCCTTCCTTTCCTCTCTGGATGTTAACATTCAAAACTTCCTAATAGTTATCCTTAATATTCACTTCTACGAGTTTATTGGGCCGTAGCCAAACTTACAACTAAAACAAAGAGGCTTGAGATTTCTCCCTCCCGTTTTGGTATCTTTGCTAGCCTGCCATCCTATGAGGTTGGGAAATATGGATTTCAGGATTTTTATCTGCAATATTTGTCTCCCGTCTTCAATACGAAATGCTAGGCGATTATTTGTAAGCTGGTGTAAGGATTAGATAGTCCATTTGAAATGGCTATGATCTATAGAGGAAAAATATGTATGCTTTCCATCTCTTACCTCCACGACTCAATGTGACTTTATTTAATCCTCTACTGGTTTAACTTTAAAAAATTGGTTGGTAATGAACCTCTTCATTGAAGACATTGTCATTCCCAAATATTTGGGGGAAAACTCGGGCCATGAATGACTATAAACTGTTTCAAACGCCAATCTTAGGCTAATGATATGAGATAAAGAGCTGAGGGGGATAAGAGAAGATTAGGCCGCGACATAGCCTCATAAAAGTATAGGGCATGGGAAAGAGTTCAGCTCTATAAGGTAGAAGTGGCCCTAGATTGTCTCTTTTCTAAAGGAAGGTTCAGTCTTCACAAATCAATTTGTGAAAATCTCGAAGGTTTGTCTAACTATCCAAACCTTCCTAAACCCGTTCACTTATCGCTGTCTGTTCCTGACTTCTTGGTTTAGAAGAAGAGCTATCATTTACGATTTCAACGGTTCTCAAGTTCTCCTCTAACCAAAAATATTATCCCGATTATGACAGCTGAGGTTGAAAATCAGGGCCATCTTTCAGATTTTTATTTCACTTTATTCCTTAGGTTCCCTAGGCTCAAAAATTTTTAAGATTTTAGATAAAAAAAATCATTGGGGATCGTATTCAATGATAGACTTCTTGTCCTTTATATTATATTATTTTTTTTTACAGGAATAGAGCAAATATAATTTTTTTTAAAATAAATCATTTTTTTAGAAGGGCAGGAAATTCGAATAAAGAGTCATATTCCGTTCTCTCCCCCCCCCCCCTTTTTATAATTCATTGTCTGTGTCTAGCTCACTCTTCTCTTCTCTTCTCTTCTCTTCTCTTCTCTTCTCTTCTCTTCTCTTCAATTTCAATTTATTTTACGATTTCGCCAGAAATATATGAATTATAAAATGATTATATTAATAATTAATTATTATACATTATAAATTTAATTTAAAAAAAAAAATTGTAGTTAGTAAAGTTAAATGCTTGAATTTAGTTCCTTGGCTAAGCCCGACTGAGCTAAAAAAGTTGGTCAAATGAAGTGACTTGGAATCATATATATATATATTTTTTTTTTTACTCCACCAACCAAATTTAGATAAATTTATCCGAAATATGATTTAACTGAAGGGGTATTTAGGCTTAGGTTCTCCATGTTTGGCAATTCGATTAATTTAACAAAAATATGCAATTCATATCTAATTGATTTTATATTAATCAGCAATGAATAAATTAGAATTTATCATTATTAAAAAAAAATATTCTATGGGTCCTTTAGTAAACGATCAGTGTTGTTAAAACGGCTCATCAAAAACGGTTAACTCAATATTTTATCCAGAAAAATATTACCCAAGCCTGGATATTTTTCCTATAGGTGGCACAACGATTTCGCCATCAATTAGCCTGAATACCGAGGGTTAGGGCGATATTTTTCTTTCTAGAAAATATTGAGTTAGCCATTTTTGAACAATTGGCTCAAATCGAGTCGTTTAATAACATTAGAAAAGATAGGCCGTATGAAAAAATTTGGTTGATGATTTTATTACAGATGTTCTAAATAATATGACTCTTGAAGAAAAAAAACCATTATTTAATGGGTTTCAAATATAATAGAAGCATTTCAGATTTTAAATATATCATGATCAAATAAGAAAGAAAGAAAGAAAGAAAGAAAGAAAGAAAGAAAGAAAGAAAGAAAGAAAGAAAGAAAGAAAGAAAGAAAGAAAGAAAGAAAGAAGAGAAAGAGAAGAAAGAAGAGGATAAAGATAAAATTATAATAAACCGAAGTCCTGTTCAGTTTGACTGATCGACCAAATAAGTAGCTATTTAATTTCTAAACATGATTCTGAAAGCAGCCGACAATCTTTTAGGGGAAAATTTACTCGGTTTCGGATCTAGACAGGCTTGGCTGACCTTTGTCTATGACGCAAAAACAAATATAACATCCTATTCTTCCACCTCATCAATGACCTATTTTTTGAGCTTGATCAGCACTGACCTAATGAAAAAAATATGGTATATAATAAAATACCTTTCGCATCATGAGAACCCGAACAAGGGGTTAAGCAGAAATGTAATATGATTCATCATTAGAATCGATTAATATGACAATCAAGAGGATAATAAATTTGCATGAATGCCAAAAATATTCGTAAAAATATATATATATATAACAAATATAAATTTATTACAAATCATATTCATTATTAATAATCTTTCTATCAATATAAG